GCGCGCGGAGATTTATGTGGAACAGTGTCCATGCAGGTGTAATTAAACGTCGAGACAGTGGTGTTGCGCGATGAAACGTGTAGGCATTCTCTGTCTTTGTCTTCAACGGGTGTACATACAACGGAAACAGAACGAGAGTGAGAGAGAGAGAGAGAGAGAGAGAGAGAGAGAGAGAGAGAGAGAGAGAGAGAGAGAGAGAGATGACAGAGAAAGGGGCTGAAGCTGGACAGGGTGGCCATAGAGAGAATCCAACGGAGCTTCGGCGTTGTAAACCATGATTGCGTGTAGATTACAGACCACTCGGTAATTGCTAGCGGCCATGCAAAACGCATGACAAAATGTTGCCAGCTAGCGTGAGATCGTGAAAATATATCCGACTCCGAACCATTGTCCGCGTTTTCTTTATCGTTCACGGAAACGGCCGAAATAAATTTCATTAATGCGGTTCCGCGCGCGAAAGAGAATTATTTGTTAAGCTATCGCCGGAGGAGAAAAAAAAAATAGAAAGAAAAGAAACGAGAGCGCGGGGGGAAATGGCTGCAAACGTTCGAAGAGTTACGAACACGCCGCGGAATAAAATATCGATCCGACGGTCCTCGTTATTAGTTGGAACATTGTGCGATAATGTTTTCGGCAATTAATAATAATTGAAGTGAATTTCGAACACACGAGCGCTGCATTATCGACAAAATCGAAGCCGACCGGAAGCGAAGTTCATTCAACGAAACATTCGGCAACCCTTCTTTCTACCCGCAGACGAGTTTACAAGCGAATTAACGGTACGATTAATGGCCGAGTTGCCAGTTAAAAAGGCCACTCCCCTTGGCTGGTGGCGCGATCCAAGCGTTTAGCCAGCGGTGCATTTTAATTGGAAGGGGCGCGATGATAAGGGCAGGGAGTAACTATGATGATGCATCCGTGCTAAATCGTATAATCCACAACGGGGTGTCGGAACAATGGGGCTGCCTCGACGAAGGTAGAAGGGTCCATTAAGACGGGGATGGTTGTCTTTACAAAAAGAGACGAACCTTGAAGCTCGGAATACGACTCGAGTGTGATTGTACTATTCGCGAGTCGTTAGAATCAGGGCAACGAAGAAACTGGGACGAAACACCTCCTCGTCCCCCTTCGTTTCTCAACGGACGCGTGAGATGGAAACTGCCATAATTTCATTAATTATTCCGAAGCCGCGTCGACCAATTAATTAAGCGAAACCACTGCGTTTCGAAACCGTTCAAAAACCAATATACGAAACGTTTGCACCAGCGGGAAACAAAAACTTATATAATTGCGGGCAGAGGTACGAACGGGTTGCCTCGTTATTTTAGAAATATCGAGGGGGACGAAGGGGATAGAAGAGACGTTGATTAAAAAGATAGGACGAAAAATCTGGCGCTGTCTTTATTCCGTGCATTTATACCTCTTGGTTGCTTGTGCACTTAACTTTCACGATGATTACTTGCCGGCGTCATTACTGGACTTTGACTCTTTGCGAACCGGAAACGGGCGGAGTACCAAGCTATTTGTCCTACTTGGCCTACATGTATCCGTAATGCGTGTAAAGTGGAAGTTATAACTTGTCGTTTTTCAAAGGGACGTTCTCGAGGAGCTTTAAAGCGCAAGGATTTACAAGATGCGAGTTTAAGAAAGTGGCGTGTAATGTATACGTTTTTGGGAAGTGCTGGGAATGTGCGGTAAAATGGAATCGTGCCTCTTCGCTTAAAAGTTTCCGTCACGTTTAGAAAGATTAAGAAATATAGAAAATAATTTTCCTCGATTTCAATGAAATTTCCTCATCCCCTTTCACAATGAAAATACCATCTTTAAAGCGATCTACAATTTACAGACAAACACTTTCTCCTTTGATTCAGAGCGAATTCTGTAATTCCTATCGGTCAATTACGGATCAATCTCGGCGAGTACAATCTAAAGGGTCCGGAAGTGCCGCCGTCGAAAGAAGAGAGAGTGACGAACGCTATCATGCACCCTGGCCACAAATGCGGAAAATACGTGGACGATATTGCCCTTTTGGAATTGGCAAGGCCGATCACTTGGTCGGAGAGCGTGAAACCCGCCTGTTTACCTGTGGCCACAGGGAAACCAGGGTATAGCGCCTTCGGCGGAGAGCTGGCCAAGGTCGCTGGATGGGGTTGGTTTGGCGAAGATAGATCCAAATGTAAGTAAATAATTCCGCTTCGTCCCACAACTCTTCCTTTTGCCTTGGTAATTCGCTTGGCAACCGAGGACATTAATTACTTGGCGTTTCATCGAATTAATGGACGATATAAGAGAAAATCGTTGGTTCTGCTATTTCTAAGGTCATTTCGAAACGGATTTCCTAGCGTACCACTAATTTTATCGTCGAATTAAATACGTATAAAGGCAGCAAAAACTTTACATTACACAGCGCCGGCAGTCGATCTGTTTTCGATAATGATATTGTAAGGGGGGAACACGAAAGTAGAACAGGTGTGCCGCGAAAGTTTCCTCCCAACGACTAAGTAAGCGAATTCTACTTTGGTCGAAATCGCGTTCCACCAAAGTTCCTGCTCGCTGCCTTAAATTAATGGGGCCAACGTCGAGTCGAACTTTGGCCAAAAAGGACCCTCGATGAAATCAAATTTCTGCTTAACTCGAACGCTTCCACATTCACAATTCGCATTCCAGAGCACTGGAAGCTCTTCTGAATAGACCATGGAGGATATACTGATGATTCTTGATACTTTCATTAATATTCAAACTTTACTCAAGAATATACGAACAAAATGGTCCCTGTCTTATAATACTTTCCGTTTCAATTTTCATAATTTATCGAAGATCATCAAGGTTCATCAATTATCTTTTTAATAGCTTTAATCAGTTTATTCTAGTAATATGCTGATTATAACCGTTTTGATAAAGTAAAATCTTTAAGGCTCGTATATGTACGTCTGATACCAGCCTTATATATACCGCTGAACATTTTTCTTTCTTTCAATTTTCAAATATAGCTTTCGAATATTAAAAGTACAATGTGATTTCTCTATAAATAAGTGAATTCCCAACAATTAAAACAAAATTAAATGTCTCGATTTCAAGCATCCGAAATCATGTCCGATTAAAAATCTTTTATCAGCAGAGCTAGTCTATCGAAATTAAAACTATTCTATTCTATTATTTTGTCTACGCAGATAAACGAGCGGACGTGCTGCAGAAAGTGGAGGTTCGCGTGATCGAGAACAACGTATGTCGCGAGTGGTACGCGAGTCAGGGCAAGTCGACCCGCGTCGAGTCGGAGCAAATGTGCGCCGGCTACGAAGAAGGTGGCCGCGATTCTTGCTGGGTAAGTGAAAACCTCTCGTCTATTATCTATCCTCTCGTTTATATACTCTTGCTCAAAAATTAATATTTGGTATTTATAATAAAATTTTTCAATTGCACGTGTAATTATTAATATATTGACATTTTTACAAATTCTTTGTTCAATAAAGTATTATTTAATTTTCTCGAATTTGAAGCAAGTATGGTACTTACTCTAAGACCTTTGAGCGGAAGTGTATGTGCCGTTGTGTGTATCGATCTTCTTCCCATTCATGTGCAACTGGTTAAGCAGAGGACCACATGTCACTCGTTCGTGTACGAAATTCACGCCCTGTCGAACAACCGCGACACGTATTTCAATAAATATCCGGCGTACTCGCGTAGATGCGTATGCAGGTTGAATTAACAGGCAGAGATTGGACTGGATCTCCGGGCAACAGAGCAAATCGCTCAACCACAAAACAGCTAGAGGGACAGAGAAAAAAAAGAAGGATGAAGGATTGAAAACCGTGAAAAATATGTTGACAAAATATTGCGGTCTGGTATAACGTAATTATCGGAACGGGTAACTGCGAGGAAAAAAATGTTTCCAGGTGTTTCCAACTCGATACATTTCATCGCGGATTTACGACTTCGTTCACGGGTCATTTGATGAACCAGCTCGCATTGTTTTAACATTTGACCGTTCGTGGTTATGCAATGAATAATCACACATTAACACAAAGCTTTGAAATTATTAAATATAAATTATTACATGTGATTATCACAATAATTATATAAAATACTGTTATATTTATATTTCTTTGGTTGGCAGGCAAAGGAAATTGAAATACATATCAAAATTGTTAGTTTTACAGAAAAATATTACTTCAAATATTTAAAATGCAATATTAAATCAGATGTTTGATTTTGAACGTAAAAGACCATTATACTTATTATATATACGTCGCTTTTTTAAGATTAGATTACTTTCTTGCTCGTCCACCAGAGATTAAAATCTCCCGCTTGAGTAAAATATAAAATCCATGTTTATATGTACATTATAATAAATATTAATCTGACAATATAAAACTGGAAAAAAAATTTTACTGTTTGGATTTTTCGTAAAAACATATACGTATATATGTATTTCCTTTCAGGCTGATAGTGGCGGACCTTTGATGATCGGAAATCAGCCTAGTAACGTGATGGTCGTAGGGGTGGTCTCATCAGGAGTTGGATGTGCTCGACCGCGACTTCCAGGTGTGTACACCCGAGTTTCAGAATACATATCCTGGATCACGCAACACGTACTACGATGAAACGAAAATTGAAAATTTCATTCGTTTCACTTTCTACATAAGACTATGTATCGTAGGCATTTTCTGTGAATCTACTTAAAGAAAAAGAATTAAGTGTCATAGAAAGCTAGAATTTTTTTTTTAAGAAGTTTAAAACATAAATGTCTGGATTAGCTTTATTAGAGAGTCTCAAGTTGTTGGAAGACTACTTTGAAAGATAAATAATGAAAACTAATATAAAGTGTAAGATATCACCTGTAATATATGTTTTATAGATAACAAGAATTATTAATTATAGAACAAAGTTAAAGTCATTATTGTAAAATATAAATAATTCACGAGATTGTCTTTATCTAGTCAATACTTATATTTTAATTATTATATAGAAGATAATATATCATAAATAAATTGCCACGAAAGTATTGTATCTTAATCAAATGATTAACGCATAATTCTGTACAAAATTTTACATTTTAATGTAAATTTATCTATTCAATATATTATAATATATTTTATAAATTATATTCTTCTTTGTTTCCTTGGTCTTGGAGGATTGTATGATACTCTAGTATCATCCGTGATAGAAACAACGTTTACTCCTGCTAGCTGAAAACCTTTTATAGCACCCTGAATGGATACAAAAATACTTATTAAAAGTACATATATGCAGAATTTTTTAAAAGTTCGAAATGAGATTCTTTACTTTTTCTGAAAAGTACTGCATGCTTTTGAATTATGATTTCAATTTTTTATTAAAAAATTTTAATTTATACATTTCTATACTTACCATTCTGCCAGGTCCAATTCCCTGTATTCTCAACCTCACTGTTCTGAAGCCATTGTCAAGCATACGCTAGAAACATATAACACATTTACATTAAAAGAACATAAAAATTATAAGTTTGCATAGATATTATTAAAAAATCTTTCTTACTCTTCCAAATGTAATTGCGGTTTGTTGTGCTGCAATGTTAGTACCCTTCCTTGTATTTTTGAAACCTTCTATTCCAGCCGAATGTAACATTATTCCCTTTCCTATAAAAATATTGTTATGATAATACAAGGGTTGTAGAAGCAGTACTGACGAAATGATACTGTCATATTAAAGCTTTCCTTTATAATCAGTAAGGGACATTATTGTGTTGTTCGGAGTTGACTTTACATTAACAATATCTAACTCATTATATGCCTTGCCATCAAATATTTGATATGGCGTAGAAGCATCAGGAAATAATTTCTTTCTGAAATCAACATTATGAGAATATTAGTATAATACAGATAACTAAGTACAATGAAGTACAACATATTGCAAACGCCTGCAATATGAATATTTGTATAACACAGAATCAAATACTTACGAATCTGAGTCAGAAATAGTGACTGTGTCTTCTCCATCCATAATTATATCTCTTTTTTCTTCAACTCTTATTTTCTGATTTCCCATTCGAAATTGTTTCATTATATTTGAGGTTATATGAATATCTCGAAAATTAGTGTGTTTCAAATACGGTAATATCGTACAATTTTTATTAAACACAATCATACTTTTTGTTAAGGATCCTGTTGCAAATTGCAAAGTGGATAAAATCATCTTTATGCACGTAGATATTTTTAATTCAAAACTGAACAATTGACAAACTCTCCGTATCAAAACAGTAAATGCTGCACTCTGAAGTTCATTCCAATAGACTTAAAATCGCAATCATTTTAAAATTTATTTATATTCACAAGTCAAATAAATATTCAGGAAGAACAATTAAATAATATTCTAAATTTATATATGTATATACATATATGTTTAATACTATCTTACTTTTAATACTATTAGTCAATGGTGATATAAAATTTATAGCATTGACTAATATTAAGTATAGTTCTACTCTTTCACCGTTACATGACGCTAGTGTTTTACTGTTCATAAATAGGTCAAATTTTCAAATTTTTAGAAAAAAATTAAGACTGATTTGTGAATTTTTATAACTGCATTCTCTTAATTAGATTCACAGCTCTCTTCCTATCTACATGTATAAAGATTTCAACTTGATTTCTCGTAAACTGAATTTTTGAAATTTGGATCAGTCATTCCTAAACATAATTAGAAGTGTATAGTAAAGTCTCATACATGATTTTGGATATGAATTAATCTATATATTCGAAAAATATTTTGATCATAAAAGAACCTATTGTATAACTGTATAAATAATATTAACTCAAAACAAAATTTGTATGGCAATAATATATTTTTTACTTAAATAAATTATACTTGTATAATTAATACTGGCTGGTAGTTTTGTTAAGTATTTTCTTTCTATTTTAAGTTAAGGAGATGCTAAAAGTGTTTTGATGTAGGGATTTTCATGAGATAGAACTTCAGTTTTAAATATTGAAATTTTATCTTCCAGTTCCACGTCAGATAATGATTTATCTAAATTCTTGCATTTGTTAATAAATTCTGCAATAAGAATTTCGGCTTCCTGTAACATCATTAAATTATATTAATAATAGTTAAGATTTTTACATGTTTCTGATGAAAATATCATTACCTTTATAATATCTTTCTTCTTTTGCGGATTATCAGAACCTTCAAAAACTGAATCTTGGTAATCTTCAAGCTCTGCTTGTTTACGCTTAGCGAACTAAAAGAAATATTTACTTTCCTGATATTGTCAAAATTTTAATTTAAACATATAGATTAAGAAAAGTTGTACCTCTATAACATCTTGTGGGAAATTAGCCATTTTAGCAACATGTATGCCAAAACTTTGATCACATATACCTGGCTTCACTTTGTATAACAAAGTTAATTTGTCATCGTCTACAAGGGCTGTAACATGTTGATTTTTAACAGCAGGTATCTCTTCTTCTAATTTAGTTATTTCGTGAAAATGTGTTGCAAAAAGGCAATAACATTTGATTTCTTTTGCTAAATATCTACAAAAAATTATATTATTATTATGAATTATACAGAAAAATAAATTTATAATAATTTCAAGATATGATTCGTATATTACTCGGCGATTGACCATGCTATACCGCAACCTTCATAAGTAGAAGTTCCTCTGCCTAATTCGTCAATTAACACGAGAGAATTACATGTTGCTGTCTATTGAAATCATATAAATAAATAAATATTATTTATTCGATATTATTATACAAATATTATCAATTTACCTTTAATATAGCAGCAGTTTCTATCATTTCCATCATAAATGTAGAAAGACCTTTCAATTGAGAATCATCAGCTCCTACACGGGCTAATATACAATCCAATAGTGATATTTTTGCTTGATCACAAGGAACAAAGCTTCCAATATGTGCCATTAAGGCACTAACACCGGCAGACCTTATATAGGTACTTTTACCTCCCATGTTTGGACCAGTTATGATGCAAAAATGACATTCACCTATAATTTTAGCAATTATGCTTTTTGTTTAAAAATAATATAAAAATATTACCTCTTTTAAAACTAATATCATTAGCTATATAATCCACTCCTTCTTGAATTTCCAAACATGGGTGTCGAACTTGGGTAAGATTAAATTCACCCATTTCGCTAGGCAGCATTTCAGGACGAACATACGGTTTATTAGCACTTATAGCAGCAGAAGCAAAGGCAGTCAGGACATCAAGAGATGCTAATACATTGCCAGTAGCTTTTATTGTACCACTGTAACCAGCTGTGTAGTAAATAATAATGTGATATAAACATGTATTTGTTTTATTTATTTAATTTTTGTATGTATATATGCATATATATACACATACATATGTATACGATATACAAAATACCTGCAATTTCAATTATCTCTGTAACAACCTTCTTCTGTTCAATTGTATACTTATCTCTGGCACTAAGGTAATTATCATTTAAATCATTTAATTTATTGCTTCGGAAACGTACACCACTTTTATTGGAATCCAAAATAATATACTGTTTTTTATTTCTAAGCACTTTTTCTTCCTTCAATGTTACACGGAAATAATATCCAAACTGTTGATTCGATTCTAGTTTTAATGATTTTCCAGCCTCAATTGAAAGATCATTGGCAACTTTAGCCAATTGGGATTGTAATTTTGTCTCCATTTCATTCATAATATTCTTTAATTCTAATATCAATAGGAATAAATTTATATATAAGAAATATATTTATATATTTAGCATATTCAAAAATTGTACCTACCTTTTAATTCATCGTCAAATTCGGCTCGTACTAAGAAATCTCCTTTCCCGGCGGAATCTAAATCAATTGTTTGTTCGATCATTTGTTGAAATTTGTCCATGTCTTTAATAAGTTCGCTCAAAGGATCACTGAACATCGTTTTTAAAGCTATTACATTGACATTAGAAAACTGTTCTAAAAGTGCAGGCAAACATGATACACACATGTAAATCCTGAAATAAATAAAAAAAATCAATGAATAAAAATATATAATTATATTATATACTATAAATATATTATTTACTTATAGAGGTCTTGTAAAGTTGCTTTTTTTCTGGCCAATTTTTTTGCAAGCATTTGTAAATCCGGTATACGTCTTAAATGATCTTCGCTAAGATTAGATCGTAATTCGTTGTCATTTACCAATGCTTCAACAATATCATGTCTTTCTTTTATAAGAGATAGGTCTTTCAAAGGTTGTCTAACCCATTGTGCAAGAAGTCTATGACCTTGTGGAGTCCTGCATTTATCCAAAAGACCCAAAATACTTGTAGGTGCATTTCCATTTAAAGTAGAAGAAGTATCGGCACGCGGTTCAATATTGAGTGCTTTTATAGCAGCTGAATCTAGTTTTAAGTAACGTGACTCCTTTATTTGATCTATAGTAAATTCATTTAAGTTTCCTTCATCTGATGTTAACTAGTAAAAAATTATCAAATTAAATAAAAATATTTTGTTTTTATCAATATTATACACTTACATCTAAATATTTAATAAGTGCGGAAATAGCTGACATAGCAAAACTTAAATTGGCTTCAGGTAAAGACTGTACATTTTGCTGTTGACCTTTCTTGAATTTTATTAAAGTGTTTAAATCTTGTATAACTGATTCACTAGAGAATTCACTTTTTTTTCTTGTAGTGACCATTACATTATTTCGTTCCATGACCTAAAAAGTAAGGAGAAAAAAAGAAGAAACAAAAGAATGTTACAATTATATTTTTGACATTTTTAATTCAATTATTTTAGAGGCAAATATCTTATCTGTTTACTTGTTTAAGGGCTTGAAATTCAGAACTGCCTTCACCTTGAATTAATAAACATTCTTTAGGAGCAAGAGTAACAACCAATGATTCTAAATTGGAAAATGATTCATTATCTTGAAATTCACAAACAGAAAACGAAGTTGCTGTGGTATCTACACAGCTTAAACCAACAATCTAAAAAAAGATTACATACAATAAAATTAATTATAAAAAATTCTTTTAACAATACATTTACCACATTTATGATCACTCACTCTAGATTTCCCCTCCATTCCTAATTTTACAGCTATGACACGTACACTAACAACAACATCATTATTATCAAACAACACATCTTCAAATTGTGTTAAATTACCAGGAGAACCTTTATACTCTAATACCCAATTTTGGTTTTTTGCTGAGCCTTGATTAATATATACTTCTATTCGGTATTGCTTTACCAACAATAAATCCCGTATAAAAGACTCAAAATGATTTTTATTAAGAATAACACCTTCAGTTTTATATGGATCTATGTTATACATAAAATTTATTAAATAAGAATAAAATAAATTTATTAATAATTCTTAATAAAGTTAAATTAATTAAAATTGAATTGAAACATCTTACCAGCTCCTATCATCTTACAGACTGATGTAGTTTTAAAAACTTCTTGTGCAGCAAATAAAGCATCACTACCATGTAGTGTATAATAATCTGATCTATTGAAAAATCGTATGGTAGTATTAAGTTTCTGAAACCAATCATTACTTAATTACATACATATTTTAAATCTAAAATTTGAAAATTAATAATATATAATGCTGTATGATGAGATTGGCCATTCAAAATTATATTATATGAATTTATTTTTAAATATATTCTTGGCCTATTTATGTATGTTATTTATTTTTATGACTGATATATGTTTCTAAAATGATATAGATTTGTAAAATGATATAGAATTGCAATTACAATTTTTCAGGGAGACAAAATGAAAAAATTTTAAAAATTAATTCCTAGAAATGGTTTGAGAAATATGCACATTTGCCAGATCATAATTATCACATTTGTTTCCAAGAAAATGAAGAATCTTGTTATATATCTGTAGGTCAATGTCTATCTAGGGTCAAAAAGTCATGATATTAATGTAATATGAGTTCAAGGAAATCTGTTTTGTTGCATAAAAGATATATCAATTCAAAGTACTACATATTATTAATGTGATAAATAATTATATACAATTCAGTTTTAATTATTTTTTACATATATTACAAATTTTTGGAAATACCACAACAGAAAATTATAAATTACTTAATAATTAATTACATAAAAAAAAAATAAATAAATCAATAATTTTTCATAAAAAAGATTAAAACATTATATGTAAATATATGATATAAAATTCAAAAATGATTTGTCAACATAAAAATCAAAAATTTTTATTAATGATACTGTCTTGAAAATATTATTGTGATAAAAGATCAAAGTTCATATTCCAAGAAGGTCAGTAATGTATAGCCTAAGTAGGCTACTAAAATCATTATAAAGAACTCACAAACAATTCATAATATTTATTTTAATATTTTGTTAAATATATTATTATGTGAGTACATGAAATATATAATACAAAATAATCTTTTAAATAATGTTTTGCATAACATACAGTAGAATTAAAAATATAACATTAAAATGTTAAAATATAATATTTGTCTCAATGATCACTTCAGTTGTTACCTTGAAATTATACCTATTATGAAATAAGAATAAATTAACATATTGCAACAAGGAAATTACATACTGAGAATGACATCATCAATGACACATCAAATGAAATTTATAGCTATTAATGGAATATATAATTGTTATCAAGAAATCACAAAAGTATATTTATATATCTCTTTATAAGAGATATAAATAAATATAAAGAAATAAAAGTATTAATATATAAAACTTAAGTTTCTTTCTTTTTCAATTAACTCATGAAATAGTTGTTCACCATATTACAGATTTTTATAAAATATACAATAATAAAATATACAATAATTTTTTTAAATAATTTTAATTATTTAAAATAATTTTAATATATATAATACTTTATTACTATAAAAATTAAATGAATCTTCTTCAATACTAGTATAATATATAAATTAAAAATTGCTAATATTTGTCAGCTCTTCTCTGTAAAGATAAATCAATACTGTTACTGTGAATTATTAGTAGTGATAAGTATGTATTTAAATTCGAATAAATGCACAAGAAAACAGTGTCATCATGCACAAATGAAAGAGAATGCTTCCAAAGATATGACAAAGAAGGGGAAGCTAACATAAATGGAATTGCTCCAACTTGCATTTAGTACATATCGATACATAGTGCCACTGAGATCATCTCTCTCATCAATTCTGAACTCTGAATTAAGTGAATTTTGGTCTTTTGCTATAAGGTAATTAAATTTACAATTTCAACTTATCAAATATATAATTTTAATTTTACTATAAATATAATATCTTAAATGTAGTTTTTTATTTTAATAAATTAAATATAAAATATATTTTATGATAATATATAGATTTATTTATATATTTTTCATGAAAAATAATTAAATTAATTTTATATACATTTTTATATATTTTTTTCAGAGACTGAATTAATAATATGATGGTGCAAAATATTATCAGTTTATTTTTATTCATGACATATGCATCATCTGCACCAAGTGGATGCATAGAATCTTGCACATCTTATCTTAAACAACATCAAACTCAAATTTCTGGTGATTTATTACAAACTGCATCACATTTGCAAGGCCTAGACTACTCAAGACCTGGTACATGGTCTGAACATAATGAGTATAATGTTGACAATGGACAAGGAAAAGTACATGAAGAACGTGGTCAATATATTACAGGTCCAAAAACAGTAAGATACTATAAAAAAAATTACTCCTCTTCTTATAGTACAAGATATCCTAATAGTGAAATATTTCCGGATTTTGAATACGAAAGTAATAAACATGGTGTACATTTACCTACTATTCAAGAGGTCTCCAATTCTCGAAATACTTACAATCGAATGGGTAATTCAGAGTCGGTTGGGCAATATAAATATAATAAAATACAAAATCAACAACATACTCAATCATCATATACCAAAAGTAATGTTCAAAATGAAAGACTTGAAGATCTTGGACAATACAGTGGAAATTCACAAGTGATTCAGCAAGGTGCATCTAATCTGAATACACAAATTTCAAGAAAACCTTATGATACAAATACACAGTCTGGAAATTGGAGTTCAGTCAATTCATATAAAACTGATGGAGGGCGTGGTCGTGTATTTGAAGAAGATGGTCAATATGTATCGGGAGCTCAAAAAGTTCGTTATTATAAAAGGAATTATACTTCTAATTATAGTTCATCTGATGGGATTCCTATTCCTGAAGTAACAAAAACTGGAATTCAAGATATTCAACAAGAAATGGAGAAATTTCATAAAGAAATTGGAAAAGGATTCAATCAAATGTCTACAGCAGATGTCATAGGATCCAGTAATATTGGACAAACATATGTTAATACTCATGATTTGTCTACTGACAATATAAACAGTGATAACCATAGAGGACAAAATAGCTACAGGAGTAGTTTATCTACAGCACATACTGAAGAACATCATTCCTCGCATATTACAAACGACCATTTACCTTATAGAAATCCTTACCAAAATACATATGATGGAAATAGCTATGGCACACATGAAAAACATGAAGAATATGTCCAAAAACCAATTAACCAACTTATTAATCCTACATCAGGGTACACCAGTGTACTAACTGGAAATAGTGGTTATAACAGAAATACATTTAGTGGATCAACTTTACAACAACAAGCAGATAATTTTCAACAAGCAGAAATGTTAGATGCACAACAATCTAGAATTTCACAAACACAAACATTTCTTGACAATTTAAGGAACAGTGCACAAAGCCAAAGTAGTGCAATTCATTCAAGCACGTCAGGTGTTGTACCTCACTACAAGGAACATTGGAGTGCTAGTCATATAAAAGAAACATCTATTCCGCAGCATTCTATAGATATTACACATACGAATCAACAGAGTGATCAATATACTAACAATCAATATGACAACAGACACAATTTATATCAAGGGATGCAACAAAGAGACAATTACTTACATCAATCCAAAGAAAGTGGCTTCACTAGTGGTAAAAAAACGTTATTACAAAAATTAGTAACTGGAACAGACACTGTGGATTGTGATTATAATTCACATAGCAACACTCAGTATCAAACAAAATATAAACGTTCTGCTAAATATGACAAACAAGATGAAGTGCAAACACACAGTAACTTCAATGATGATTTTACTCAACAAACAGGAGAATTTGATGATCTTACACAGCAAACAGGAGAATTCGATGATCAACAAACTTCTGGAAAACCTGAATTTAATCAGGAATCACAATTGTACCAGTCTTGGACACCATATACTGCCAATCAACAATCAGAACATATTACTCAGCAAACAACAGAATATGATGATCTTACTCAACAAACTTCTGGAAAACTTGAATTTGGTCAGCAATCACAACAATTCTATCAGTCTTCAAAACCACATAACACCAATCAACAACTAGAAGATTTTACACAAAAAACAGAAGAACATAATGATTTTACTCAACAAACTTCTAGAAACCTTGAACTTGGACAAGAATTACAACAATCAAATCAGTCTTGGACAACACATACTGCCAATCAACAATTAGGAGATTTTATTCAGCAAATAGGCGAATTTGATGATCTTACTCAACAAACTTCTGGAAAACTTGAATTTGGTCAACAATCACAACAATTCTATCAGTCTTCAAAACCACATAACACCAATCAACAATTAGAAGATTTTACACAAAAAACAGGGGAACATAATGATTTTACTCAACAAATTTCTGGAAACCTTGAACTTGGACAAGAATTACAACAGTCAAATCAGTCTTGGACCACACATACTGCCAATCAACAATTAGGAGATTTTATTCAGCAAACAGGCGAATTTGATGATCTTACTCAACAAACATCTGGAAAACTTGAATTCGGAGAACAATCACAACAATTCTCTCAGCCTTGGAAATTACATATTGACAATCAAGAATTAGATGATCTTACCCAGAAAACAAGAGATGACCTTACTGAACGAACTTCTGGTAAATTTGAATTTGGCCAGCAATCACAACAGGACTGGATACCACACACTGCCAATCAACAATTAGGTCTTACTCAACAAACAGGAAAATTCGATGGTCTTACTCAAGAAACAGGAAAATTCGATGATCTTACTCAACAAACAAGAGAATTTGATGATCTTACTCAGCAGACTTCTAGAAACCATGAACTCCAACAGGAATCACAAAAATTCTATCAACTTCAAAAACCACATACCAGCAATCAAGAATTAGATAATCTTACTGAGAAAACAAGGAAATATGATGACCTTACTCAACAAACATCTGGAAAAGTTGAATTTGGTCAACAATCACAACAATCACATCAAGCAAGGGATTTACAGAGCACCATTCAACAATTGGAAGATCTTATTCAAAAAACTAAAGAACCTGACAACCTTGCACAACAAAGTTTCAGTCAAGGAACACAACAATCTCATCATTCTTGGAATCTACATAATACTATACAGCAATTAAAAGATCTTATTCAAAAAACTAGGAAGTCTGATGATTTTACTCAACAAACTTCTGGAAAACTTGAATTTGGTCAACAATCACAACAATTCTATCAGTCTTCGAAACCACATAATACCAATCAGCAATTAGATCTTACTCAACAAACTTCTGGAAAACTTGAATTTGGTCAGCAATTACAACAGCCGCATCAGCCTTGGATATCACGTACTGCTGATCAAGAAATAGAAGATTTTACTCAAAAAACAGGAGAATTAAATGATTTTACTCAACAAACTTCTGGAAACCTTGAACTTGGAGAGGATTCACAATTCCATCAGTCTCAAAAACTACATACCAGCAATCAAGAATTAGATGATCTTACTGAGAAAACAAGGAAATATGATGACTTTACTCAAAAAACATCTGGAAAAGTTGAATTTGGTCAACAATCACAACAATCACATCAAGCATGGGATTTACAGAGTACAATTCAACAATTGGAAGATCTTATTAAAAAAACTAAAGAATCTGACAACAATGCACAACAAAGTTTTAGTCATGAACATGAAACAACACAGCAATCTCATCATTCTTGGAATCTACATAATACTATTCAACAATTAGAAGATCTTATTCAAAAAACTAGAAAATCTGATGATTTTACTCAACAAACTTCTGGAAAACTTGAATTTGGACAAGAATCACAACAGTTTTATCAATCTGAGAAACCATATAGTGTCAATCAACAATTAGGAAGTTTTACACAAAAAACAGAATCTGATGACATTACTCAACAATCACTTGGAAAACTTATGTTTGGTCAAGAATCAGAGCAATCCTTTTCAACTTGGAAGCCTAGTTTGTCTCAACAAAGTGAAATATTTGTACAACCAGGAGATAATTTGCCAAAACCTGCAGAAAAACCTAAACCAAGATCAAGATATTCAAGACTTGGATCAACAGTTAATCCACAGCTACCAAATCAAAATCAGAAAAATATAAATCTTACTCCTGAAAATACAGATGTTTACAAGTTACCACCAGAAGTGACTATAGAACATGATATAGGTAATGATAAAAATCAAAATATCAGAGGGGACCAGGGACAAGGTAAAGATATCTCTAACAATTTAAAACCACAGACTGGAAGTAGTATATACGATAATGTGGATCCAGTAAATTGGTTACACAAATCAAATGATGCAACTGTAGGCTTGCAATGGCATTATACATATCATCCAAGTGATCGAAGACAATTTGTACAACAGACAGAACACAAGAATAAGGAAAGTCTGCAGCAGCAATCAACTCAAGCACAATTTTCCAATTTACAACAGAATTTCAATCAAGAAACACAAAATAAATATATAATAGAGAATTCACAACAAGAATCTCAAAATTATGCATCAGAACAAGGAATTAAATCTGTAAGAAAACCATTTCGCTATATTCAACAGGAAAATAAATTAGTATCTAATCAACAAATAACTGAAAATGGAAATGTGAAAAAGGATATAGAAACTGCTTCATCTGAATTGAAACCAAGAATTTTGGAAGTTTATGGAGGTGGACAATATGATCCTACACATAGTGAAGATATATATTCAGGAGTAACAGTAAATCCTAGTGCTACATTACCACCAGAAAGTAATACGGATCCATGGGATATTCGAGAAATACCAATAACTACAACAGAATTAACACCTCCACCATTACCTGTAGAACCTTTAGATATAAATGATACTACTGAAACACCACGTCGATTATCCGTTTGGTCAAGAATTGGTCACAAAATAACAACTACTTTTGATAAAGCTAAAGAAAAGGCTAAAAATATTTTTGGATAAATATAGCTTTTAACCATTTTAACTAACATCTATTTATAAGTAATGTTTAATAAGATAAATTCTTGATATAAACTTTGAATAAAATCAAGTTAAATAAAATTTATTTATCAGCGTTATATAATATACTTATCGTTAGAATTGTTAATTTAATAATATAGTATTATAGAAATTCATTATTATATTATATATTTCATTTGTTATTTAAATAAATGAATGCATATTTTAAATTGCTTTTACTAAATATCACAAAACCTTTATTGTATAACCCCAAATAAAGTGAATTATAACAAAGTACATAGAAATAATTAATAACGATGCAGATGTATGTTTACTTACTTCGGGTAGATTTTTAAAAAATCTAACAAAGCTCTGTTGACCTGCTGGATCTAGAACATATAATTATTTATAAAGTAATGAAAATTTTAATTTAAAAAATTATATTTATACTAACCCATATTAAATTGTTGATTTGGTTGAACAGCCATGATCGTATACGAAGAAAAATATTAGTATTTACACTTTAAGAAACAATTTAAAAATTAAAATAAACGTTATATAATTTCGTGAAAATATCTTTAAAAAACTTTTGCAAAATATACATTGAACATCCATTCAACGTATTCCCGCAAAAATTACTAATACCACAATACAAGTAATACATAGATTGCGCACTATAAGGTATTTAGTAATAGTTGTTCTCTAATTTCATTGGTCAGTTAAAATTATCGATGATTGTAGATTTCTATTCGCATACCCTTTTTAAAGTTATGTAATTAATGCAATATATTTCAATAGACAAATTGTTCTTGTGTTTTAAATATTGCTAGTATAGTATATGTAATTGCTAGTATAGTAATTCAATTTTTATAATTTTCTAACAATATATTTTCTGTTTTCATATTGTTTTCGTATTGTAAAAGTTGTGTAGTGTATAATAATAGATTAATTATGTGAACAAAATAAATTATTATGTAGTTATGTGTTAAATTTATATATTAGATGAAGTCAAGAAAATATTCACTAACAATAAGCGTGTACATATGTATTATTGAAAATATATAGGTATATTTTTCAATATTTTACATCAGTTATTTGGTAAGTTCTAATTATATACAACATATATATAATTTCTTTTACAATATACTGCATAATTATACTGAATAAAATCGATATTAATCAAATATTTCTAGCGGGTATTTTAAATTTAAATGCTTTTTGACAATATTAAAATCACATTGAAAATTCTGTTGAATAATTTGTAAATGTATTATTCATTTGATTTTTGAATGAATTAAATTTAATATTTGCCACAAATATGATTTGTATATAATTTTTGAGAAGATTTTGTTAATTTACATGAATCGGAAGGAATTATTTAATTATTTCATAAATTAACATTAAACAACTTTAATTATATGTTAATATTGTACAACTTGTAGCAAAAAATTATTATTTAATCGTTTAATGAAAGCTAAGAATTTTTTAAAGTTTTAGTTTAATATTTATTAGTATTTGGTCATTAATGCTTTATTAATTAATGTTTTAACTAACTTATTATAATGAAATATTAGAGTACAAAGGATAATGTATATTAATAAATATAAAATTTTTTAACTCAATATTACATGTGAAATATTCCACTTTGTGATTCAAATAGATTAATCAGTAATCCTATTGTAAAACTTAGTTCTTATCATTTGATGTTCTTATCATTATGATAAGAGAATATATATTATTTTGTAAGTTAAAATATGTACATAAAAGATACTTCATGTCTTCTATGCTGAATGACGTGCAATCTAACACGTCACCAACAATAAATATCAATCATCGTGCATTTACACCCTATCACAGGACTGATTGAGTGCAAACTGTGCTTATTGCGTATACCTTGCTACAATTCACTTTCTGAGTTGCTTCATTCGTGAACACTTCGTGAATTTCACGTTTATGTTTGGAACCAATATTTTTGAAAAAAATAAGAGTTTTAAGAGTTCCATTATTTAATGGTTTCCACGAATGAATGATATATTTGTGACTATTATTTGTTTTTTTCAAATTCATATTTGCAAACTTAATGCACAACGTCTAAAAAACTGAAACGTTCTTTCTTAAAGTAAGTAGTTTATATTTTAAATACTGTAACTATTTAAGATAAAAATCAATAATGAAAAATATATATATTGTATATACAAGGTACATTATTGACATGAGGTAAATCTTTTCGGAACGACTATCTATAAGCAACTTATTTCAGATCTATTTTTTATTCTGTGTCTAACATGTGAAAGATAGAAGTTTTAATATATATTCTGTTTAAAAATTTTTAGGATTAAAATAAAAATGGATAACAAAGATGCTGTATTGATGCCGGGTCAACGAATTCGTCCACCGGGCAACATTCAAGTAGTCTCGCAACTCTTAAAAGAACTTTATGGTTTGAAAGCGTCGAGTATAACCGAACTAAACGCGTACGACGATAGAAACTACCATGTAATGTGTGAGGAATCACATACGAATTCTCATATGATGACTGTCAGTAAACATGGCTACATTTTGAAAATCATCAATTCGTTGGATTCGCAGAAGACACACGTGATTGAAGCACAAACTGAAATGCTATTGTTTTTAAACCAACGAGATATTAATTGTCCCTTACCCGTAAAAAATGTACATGGACTATATTATACTTTGATCAAGTTGAATATCGATGAATGCACCGACAGTTACGCCGTGAGGCTGTTGGTTTATCAGCCTGGTGAACTGTTGCACCGTGTTCCAATTACTGGGGAATTGCTTCGAAACGTAGGCAGGTTCACGGCCAAACTCGATAATGTTCTTATGGGCTTCTCTCATCCAGCTTACGACGATCACAAGACTTTGTGGATGTTGAACTCTGTGCCAAAGTTGCGCCAATTTACTTACGCTGTAGAGAATGTATTTGAAAGAGAATTGGTGCATCAGGTGATACTAGCCTTTGAAAAGGACGTGCTCCAGACCACACTGCAGCTAGAGGAAGGTATGATACACGGTGATTTGAACGAACAGAATTTCGTGATGAGCCCGAATGGCAAAGAAATAGCTGCCGTGATCGATTTTGGTGATTCACAGCGGACATATTTGATCTTTGAATTAGCTATCGCGTTGTGTTACATGATTTTACAAGCTGGTAACGTGGCGATGGGTAAACACGTTATCGAAGGTTACCAGGATATTAAAAGACTGACAGATCTCGAAAAGAAGATCTTGAAAGTTACCGTTTGCGCGAGAATTTGTCAGAGTTTGGTAATGGGCGCTTATTCTCATCTTCATGATCCACAAAATGAATATCTGCTTGTTACGCAGAAATCGGGATGGGCTTTATTAAAGAAACTTTGGCCTCTTACTCAGGACGAAGTTCTACAAAATTGGGGATTATTGGACTGAAGTTTTTATACCCTTTGATTCACTATCATCATCAAATTAATGTAAGATTAATTATTGTATTTGCACCTATTGTCAATTATACAAGCAATAAATATAAATTTATGTCACAACAGAATTGAATCCATTGAAAAATGAATTAATACTGTGCAGTGATATATCCTCTGGTTTTATTCGTATTTAGGCAGTTACATATTTACATAGATATAATGAATAATAATGCTCTTCGTATAATAGTGTAGAATCATTTTACATAACTAGATCGTGATATATACAAAAATTCAGATATCAGAAATCAATTCATGGGAAATCGAGTGTTATTGGTAGACAATATTAAAGAAACATATACTTCTGGTGATTAGTTGGATCGATTAGCAATTTACTGTGGACTTAAATTCTAACTAAATATTCATCGAAATATATCGGTAATGTACAGAATTTATTTATAAATATACTGTAAGACAATATATTTCGATTTTTTGCACAATACACTTATATCTGCGTTTAAGGTGGTGAAATCATTTTTATTCGCGTGTGCTTTCATATTACTTAGTAGCTTGTAATATATATGTAATATATAATATATACATATACACATTATACATTTATATATATTATATATTATACACACATATATATACACACACACACATATATATATATATTATTTTTTTTATCTCGATTTCAATAATATACTAATTTATTTATATCTCATTTCATTAACATCAGTTCGTTTTGGCAAACTGTCTAGCTGTGTTGAGGCAAATTCGTTGATAGCGAAAATCTGTTCACAATATCGTAGAAAAATAAAGTTGACGTAAACCCAAATAATTATTTAAAACAAAAGATGAATATCTTATACAAATATTGGGTCACATTTTCCTTAAAAATTCAAATGCACTTAATAAAAAGAGAAAGTTAAGAATTTACACAAATTAAAAATAACCGTGATATGATTACACAAGTAGACACGATCATTTTTGCAACCGCGCGATCAGAGGCACACAAGTAAATTTCTTTCCTGCCGTTTTGATCTAACAATGGAACGTCATGTTAACGAATTTTCGCCAGAGGTTATTAACAAAATAGTATATTACAGTACCTATATACTTTATTGCTTAGAATCTATTGGCTTACGTACGCCTCGCGAGGCGCTTATAGGCGCATAATAATTCATTTATAACTTATGTTGTTAGTAACTTTTATACTTCATCATTCGTTAACTTAACATCTTTCATTTAATAATTTATATTACGTATCGTCGAACCTAGAAGTAACGTTGTAATAAATATACTCCTGTGAAAACATAACGAAACGCATGTAACACGGAAGGGTGCAGCGGAATGTGTGTGAAGACGTAAGAAATAGAAATGAATTCCTCGATTCTCGCAAACGTCCGATGGGAACGGTGAACGAAATTAATATAGAAGAAGTGTGTATTATTTCTCAGTCTTCGATAAAAATGATGATGACGAGAACCACGCGCGTTTTTGAAACGTGAACCGAGATAGATCGATCGTGCGTTATAGAAGAAATACGTGTAAAAAAATAAAGCCTCGAAGAATCAATTTTTTGTGCTACCCTTTATAGTGCGATCGAGATTACTGTTCCGTTCACCCCTCCCCACCCTTCATTTAAAATTTCAATAGCTTTGCAAAGCTCGTCTCTCGTAACATCAACGTTAAACGAACTTCTCGACGTATCGTTTAATCTCGACGTAACTTCTCCACGACAGCAACACGTCGCAGTAGCTCCTTTTCAGGATATAATTATCTTCTCTAATATTTCCGTTTTTTATTGAACTTCAACAATATAATTTCTTAACTTGTTGGACGAATGCCGGGATCCCTTTGTTCTTCCCAGGGGTATGAGCGTGCGCAATTAGGAGTCGTGCCAAACTACATGTGATACACGTCCGAGAATTACAGCTTTAATTAGCACACAATTGGGAATTAGATTCTCAGTGAGTGCAACAAGAATCTAACGTTCAGACGCGAACACAGATTTGCTCTAGGGCACGGAGAAAGGATAGGGGAACATTTACCAGCGGAAGTAATTTGGTCGATATCGTTTCTTCAATGTGTCTTACATATTTTGCAGTTCATGGTTTCAAATGTAATCTTTTATTCTTACATTCTTTCAATAGACAAGCATTTTAAGGAGCGTTTTTTTTTTGACAAACCGTTCGCGAAGATTAATCTTCGACTAGTTTCCCCGACTGACATTCTCCTCGCGCGCACCTCTCATTACATTAATTTTTATCTAGAGCATTTCTTTCCATACCAACAACTGCTGTCGATTGTTACAGTCTAGCGACACGATTGACAGCATTGTTTTTGATAAAGGGGCACCCTGCACATATTCATCGCTTTCACTCTGCTACATAGCTGCGAGTGATCTTTGCAGTCATCTGGAAAAACAACAATCACTTTGACTTATTAAATTGTATTCCATATATCTGTAGCTGGATCCTAGATTTTCATATTATGTTTTACCAGGTGTTTGAGGACATGGTGGACCTCTACAAGTCTTCATGACAGGAGGTCGTGGAATGTCTCTGCATGCATTACCGGCTGGTTTTTTTGTGCCATACCAAACACACTGTAGAATTCTATATTTGATACCGTCTTCTTCACACGTCGCTGTGCACTACAAATATTTTCCTAAATTATTAACGTTCTGATTTAGACAAATAAAAGATATTCAATGTTATTTAATACCTCAGACCATTCCCCAACCCTCCAGACACCCTTGCAGGCATCGTTATAACACTCTTGCCTCTGAAGAGGTCTAGTAGTATCATCACATTTACTAGGATCAAGTAACGTGATATTCTCTTGGCCGTTTTCCATATCCTCGACCAAACGGCAGGTGACATCGCGTCTCTGCATTGCAGTTTTCCAATTGAAGCACCTAGATGTTTCACACGGAGTCCATTCTGTCATGTGCCATTGGGGACATTTACCAAATCCACATGGTCTGACCTTCTGAGGCACCGGATGTCCAGCATCTTCGCATAATGTTGCCCCTATGACTGTTCGAGGTGGTGTACGAGTTGTGTTCCCAATCGGTTTCGCTGCACGAACTGTGCACTGAGCTCCTCGCATCTTGGTCAATAAAAATGAAATTGCAACTTAACTTTTGTGATTTATTTATTTTCGATCGAAGAACTAGTTTCCCCAAGTTACCTGAAATCCACTTCCCCCACAAGTTTGGGAACACTTTGACCAATCTGTCGTTACCCACTCGAAAATCAGTTCCTCCGTAGTATCTGTGCATTTCATATATTCGAGAAAATATGATACATTTTGAGTAATATTATTTCATTATTTTATTATTATTTAAAAAAAAATAAATATCTTAGTTACCTAGGATACTAAGAGATGCGATCGTAGAATCGACAGTGGCATTTGACCCAGCAGTGATAGTTCCGTTATCCAAAGATTTGTTCGTTTTCTGCACTTCTTCGCTAGGCGGACGTTCTTGAAAATCTGTCGTCTCTTCCGACGAATTGTTACGATCTTCTCGATTTCGTGATAAGTTCTTTCTACTCTTTTCCATTTCCTCGGATCCTCGATCCTCCGTCAATGCCAGGTCGATCAAATCGTCTTCCAGATCTCTTGTTGTCGCTGCTCGGCCATCGTCAACCGTGTCATTTTCAACGTAGATTCTCCGTTTTTTCATCTCTTCCTCAAAAATTTCCCCGTAATCCTCTGTCTTATTCAAAGTTTCTGTCTTCTCGTTATCGGTGTCTGGCTCTTTCGAAGCTGTGTCAGTTTCTTTGAACGACATCGTAGGAGAAACATGATGTTCGTTTTCAGAACTGTCGGTGTCCTTATCACGTGATTCTTCAAACTTCTGTGTGCTGTGCTTCGAGTCTGAGATATAGTATACTTCCAAACCAATATTATCAGAGTTAGTCGCCAAGTTTACAGATTCTTTATTTTGATTCTTAGGCGTAGAACTCCAGTGGCTCTTAACTTCTGACGTATCGTGCCATTGTCTTTTGACATTTTTCAGAGATTCTTCGATATAATCTATATCGGTCCTCGTTGGTGTGACTGTGTCATCTTTGCTCGCAACAGGAGTGATCTTCACTGGGTCACTGTGTTGCAATCCAAATATAGACTCGTCTAAATCGTATGGATCCACGTCGATGAATATTCTTTCTTCGTCTGGTCCAAAAGTCTCGTCTGGGATAGCGGTGTTACGGTATAGGGTATCCAGATTGTCCTCCACGCTTTGATATCTCAAACCAGGATTTCTTTCAGGTATGGTGCGCTTTGTCGCGGCTGTATCTTTTCTCACGTCGTCGATGAACGTTACTGGAGCTGTTCTGTGAGTTCTTCCCGCGGTGCTGTCACTTTGAAACGGCCAATATTCCTGTTGGGAGATTCAGTACAGATTTTACGTATCATCGAGAACATAACGACGTGTTTTTGACCGAGACAGATAATTTAGGTTAGACAAAAAGCAAAGGGATATGATGTCGGAAGGTGCACTAATCCTGATTTTAGTCAGATCGTCTAGATCGTCTCACCTTTAATGTCGATATAAAGTACGTTAAGTGCGGCACAAGAGCAGAGGCACTTGAACTCGAGGGTGCAGTCGATTCCACGGATTCGTGGTACCCTGGCTGATACGTTAGATCACAAACATCCACCACCACACAAAGTTAATCCATATAAAGAAGGCATGAAGATAAAGAATCGTCGACAAAATGATTAATTCATCATGCGGTTATTCATTCGGAAAATAAAAGATCGATTGGCGGAAGAGAGGATTTTAGTTGAAATGTTTGTCCCGAAATGTTTACCTGATTCAACGAAGTTACGGTGTGTTCTTTGTGTATCATCGTGGAGTCTGGCGGTGTCGGGCTGGTTTTCTGCTTCTTCTGATGCGGTTTTCTCGTTGGTTTGCTAGGCGCCGCTCGTTCGTGACTCAGATCTTCGCTGTCGATGGGAACAAATCGGTTTCCATACGCGGCTAGTAGAAGATCGATTTAAGTTAAGTTATTAAATCGTCAGGATGCAACGTGCAGGAATGAATTTTTGATTGAAAATTCGCGATGCAGATCCATCGTATTAAATGAACAGGAATTCTTACCTGCTCGATCAGTGTACAGACTTTCGCCCGAATTAGCTGGCGCTGAGTCCAAATTAGCGTTTCGTTGTCGATGGACGGAATTGCTCAGTCGTAAATATTCCTCGCTGCTAATTTGTTCCTTCGAGCGAAATTTTACAATCAGGTGCGTTTCCGCGTGAGAATTTCCAGCTGTAATGCACGGATTAACGTTACGTCCACTGTATTTTACAGCTTTATCGATCCAGTTATTTACCTATACACGCGTAAACACCAGTGTCGGTGGATGTTATGTCGTTTATCTTCAATGCACCCTTCCTACTGATCTTGTACTTCCTCGATTTCCTCAGCTCTTTATTATCTTTGGTCCACGCGATCTGCGCCCTAAAATTAATATTTCGATTTTGATATCGACGTATACGTAAGCGTGTCTTTATTGAATCAATCAGAAAACTAACTTGTCAAATTTTCGAACGGGGCAGCGAATCTTAATGGAAGATGTGCCTTGAAAAACCTTCGCGACACCACCGATTTTCAAGTCAACCTTCGCATTCAAGTCTGTCTGGTTGTACGTTGTGTTTTGACTGGTAATTATAGGCAGAGAGCCCGCATCCATCTCATGGCAGGCTCTAGTGTTGCAAGGCTTCTCTGAGGAAGGTTTTGAAGGCGGGCATTCACGATCCTCACGACTCTGTTTACGCCCCTGGGCCATTATTTGCTCACAGGTCACTTTGCGTTTCTTCACACCTCCTCCGCAAGTTTTCGAGCACTGAAACCACCATTGACTCGTTTTAACCCCTTTCCCCGAGGAGATAACTCTCATTCTTATTCCTTCGAAATCGAATTAAATTCCAGGCTTTCAACTGCGGGCGAGAAATTTTCATTAGATCGATATCTCTATGTTGAAAATATTTATGAATATAATTGAAAAGTTATTTTATACATATTTCATACAATTTTGCACGTATCTTTCAAATTTCTCGCGAAACGCGTCAAAATCTGCAGTCGAGTGTTATAATCGAACAGGTCTGGCTGTAATAACACTCTCGTTTCAAATTCAAGAAACGTTGAATCGAAACGATTAATTGCGACGAGTTCCGTCTCGATCGAGGTGATCGTATCATTTAATTCACTGAACAGAGGTAAAGTACCTTACTCCATTTGCCTGTACTCCATTTAACCGGGCAATCCCATACATTGCAGTATTGTCTATCCGCTGGTGGTGGCTGCGGGCACATGTGGTTTGGCACAGGGACCATCTTACCTGTGCCGCGTATCACCTCGTGTATGCACGTGACGTCGCGTGTCTGTATACCTATCCCGCACGGGCTCATGCACGGTGAAAATTCGCTGAAATTCCATCTGCGGGCAAAAATCGATCGTAATGACCGGCTAATTGCGAATAGAGCAACACTTCAATTGATTGTACGCTGCTTTTATTAAATCATCCAATGAGTTTGTACCATGACGAGCGCGTATGGTTTTTTTGTATTTGTATACAATGACACGGGACATTGTTTCGCTTATGGAATAATTATTTCAGCAAAATATTCGGCAAAATGCTTCAGTAAGTTTTGAAAAATTGATACTTTATTGTAAAGAAAAGTAAGAATGGAACAAATTTATTGGACAATCTAATGGATTAGAGTTGCAGAATTCAAATTGATTTTTAATTTTAGCTCGAAATGACGATAACTACGAGCAATATAAGAAAGTAACAACGATAGTGTGAAAAAATGTGTTTGATCATTGATTGGTTACCTAGGAGGGCAGGGATGATCGTTGCAAACCCTTATCCTAACTTCTGGTTTGGTGTCGGCGGTGCAGAGAAATGGCATGACAGTTTTTCCGGTGTCGTCTCGCACGCAGTTCACTATCAGCTCCTGAGAACCTGAAATATCATCGTACGATGAAAAAGTACCGCGAAATCAGCAGAATTGATCGCCGATAGGTAGAAAGTGGAAAGGGGACATTGGTGTTCCCGGCGTAGAAGAGAAGTCGTGACGAGAATCGTATGACTTTAATCTATCGGTTCGACGCGATTCAATCGGCTAACTCGTCGCCGAGCGTCATTAATTGTACAATCGCGTCGAATTATCCCAGCTAATTAAGCGCTCTATAGCGGAACGTACCTAGAGATTCGTTCCGTTAATCCTTACTGATCTGATCCCCGATAATTCCCTGACTTACGTTTGCGGTTGATTAGAGTTGGTTGAATATATAGTATTTACAGAACGGCAGACAGATAATTCGGTTAAAAGGATTTCAAGTATATAGGCTACGTGGCAATACTTTCGATCGAATTAGCAATGGCATTTGATTATCGCTTCGCGCGCGTTCCCTTCGACGAGTGAACGTCGCATAGTTTTCGACGGTTCTTCGCGAAGTCGAAGCGCGTGCGCGCGGGCGCGCGTGACGATCAAGAAACGCCCCGGTGCTCGTCGCGTCGCTTTTGAAGTTTCTTGTTTCCCCTGTGAATTTGCATTCCATTTCCATCCCGTTAAATTTCAAGTCTCGCCGGGGCTTGTCCCAGTTTTACTTTGGCGCGCGCGATTCACCAAATTTCTTTACAACACCTGCCAACAAGCGCCGCTTGCGGCGCTTACGCTCGTTTAATTTCCATTTCCGTTGCAAAGCGTGTTACAGAACGTGATATGTCCCTTACCTCCGAGGCAGGTAGCGCTGCAGGGTGTGTAGCCACCTTCCTTCCACGAGTAAGTGGTCTGTACGTCGCTTCCTGGAGCGACCTTGATACCAGCGTCGTAGCCACTTCCGCTGGAGCCTCCTGCGGATGATCTGTAGGTATCGGTGAGACTTGGCTCGGCGTATCCGCTATCGCCGACAGTGTCGATGCCGTAAGTCAGACTATTCTCGATTATATTGCACGGCGGCATTATGCACTTCTCCTTCTCGAGCGGTTTCGGTCCTGAACACTGTCGATCCGGTAGATCGGCCACCGTCTGGCTGAACTCGAGGTATATCTTGCAACGGACCTCCCGATGTCTGATACCCTCGCCGCAGGTGACGGAACACGATGACCACTCCTTCGCGATGAACCTGGAGGGTCGTTCGTTTGATGATTCGGGTTCGATACGGCCCTCAAAACGGTCCCTTCTTTTCGGAGTTCGTTCGAGTTTCTCTTTTCACACGAAGCTCCTAACTGTGCTCGACTTTCGACCGATCTCTTCGAGATCTTTAACGGGAAACTCTACTGTTGCATTTCGCAATAATTGACTCGTGTGTCGATACGGAATCGAACTGAGTTTTTAAATCATGTAATATTCTCGTGACTATTACGTAATATTAAGTTTCTGAAAACTTTTCGATCGAAATCAGTGGCTTGACGGTATTTGAGATAATCCGAGATCCAAATCTTAACTTCAACGATCGGACAAACAAGTTTCGAGGGAATTCCGAAATTTGTAAAAATGGCGTTTCCGCGCGTGTTCCGATATCCCGATTTTCCTTCTTTTATTCTCCGGGGCATCAAACGACACAAAGTTCACCGCACAGAATTTATTGGCTTCCACGGCCATTCGTAGTTGATGGAGCGATCCGTACGTCTATCCTGTCATCGATTAGATCGGATAAATAACTGCCGGTTATTCCAGAATTACGTTAAAAACCGCGCCTTCCAGTTCCCAACCCTCTGTTCGACGCTATTCAATCGGGCCACCCCCCGCGAGTACCTACTTTTGTCCATCAATCAGTGACTTCTTGCTGACAACGTTTTCAATTTGCTTTCGTGTATCAGCGTGCTTTGATCTATCTCGATCGCGCGTGCTCCCGCTGCACAAACACAACGCTTTGCGTTCAGAAACTGAAAAGTGATCCCAATAAGCAATCTCGTGGAACGCGGCAATGTAGGAATTTTTATTCTCTTCGTCCATTCTCATTCAACTTATTTTTTTCTTTTCCTCGTACGTATAAATATTTTTATTTCGTCAGAAATTCACCGGCCAGTGTTATCTTTCACTGACGAGACACGCGATTCTTGTCCTCGAAGTGGAATCTGGCTAAAGCTCGTGTAAAATTCGTCCGTGGTACGGGTACCGAGACAGACAAAAGAGAGAGAGACAGAGAGAGAGAGAGAGAGAGGGAGGGTAGTGCTACGGTTTTAAATTATGCATGCTAAGCCTACGAGGGTAACAGTGGTATAACGCAGGCCAGAAAAAGGAAAGAAGAAACAGAAGAGAGCGAGAGAAAACATCGTCGTAGGGGGGGGGGGGCAAAGGAAACCAGCGTAATAGTCTACGTAATATCATCGTCGTAAGTCTAAGCTAATGCTTGTTCTACGGCATTCGCGTTATGCGCTAATTAAATCACGGTAAATCTCGTAATCTCCATAAATGCATTAGGACCAACAGCCAGGAAAAAGTTAGCTAAGAAACAGGGAGATTAAGCTCCCGGAATTTCAAGCGAAGAAGAGATATTTAAGTTGGAAAACTGTTGCGCGTCAGCGGAAAATACCTGCCTGTCGCGCGCTGGTTGCTCTTACGTTTCCCACGAGCAGCAGTTCTTTTTATTACTTTTATTCTACCGTGTGAAAAAAAGAAAAAAAGAACGAGCCCGCGTTCCATCGTATATACGAAAAGCATAATAAAACACGAAGACACGTGTGTCAACGAGCACGAGAGCGTCTTTCGTTATGTTGCGGCGTTACACGAGCAAGCAGTTTGCATTCGCCGCGAGGCAAGCGATGTTCTCGCTGACGCGCCTACGCAATGCCAAGATAAACAAACAAAAATCGCTATACGCTAAAAAGGAAGAAGAAGAAACGAATCTGGTGGAGGATTCGTCTAAGCCTAGAGTTAAGAGAAACGAAAGAGAACGATGAGAACGAAACAGTCGATGAGGAAGGCGGAAGGAAGGAAGTGAAGCGAAGAAGCGTTCGGGGTGGTAAGTCATCGTGGACGTTGGCAGGAGGATGGGGACATCAAATACTTCTGAAACTCGCTTAACCCTGATTTCGTTGGGGAGGAAAGGAGAAGCGGTCTCGGACTTCGCAGCTTTGCGGTGAGTTACAAAAGCGTGCGAAGAAGAGAGAGCGAGAGAGAGAGAGAGAAAGAGAGTACGGAGCATGTGGGGATGGAGAAGAGGATATTGACTGTGGTGGTGGTGGTGGTTAACAAGGAGAACCAGAGAAACATTAAGCAAAGGGAAGAAAGAGAAAGCTGCACGTCGGTTTGCTTTGCTCCTCCTTGGAAGCGAGAAACTGCTGGAACGGGGTGGCAAGAAGGACGGAGGTAAGAAGAGAACCCGAAGAAGAACGAAGAAAGAAAAACCGGGGAAATAGATACATGTAGGAGTGAAAGAGAGAAGGAGAGTGGGTGGTTGCTAGTGAGAGGAGAGTCGAAATAGTTGGACGAAAATGAAAACGAAGAAAGAGAGGGGAATGAGAGAGAGAGAGAGAGAGAGAGAGAGAGAGAAGTAGAAGAGTTAAAGTGATAGAGAGTAGAAAGAGACACAGTAATGGGATACCTCAGATACAACCAGCCACAGGCAAAGTAGATCGTATATCTGTCAGGACAGACCAATTGACGTCAAGAAATGAATGCTTTTAAGGAGAAAGATTTTTCTATCTAGCGCTTGTACGGGTTTTATTATATTGTTCAAAAACGTCGGGAATGGGGGAACAGCGCAACGAGAAAGCTCTACGAGGCGATATCGTGTATAATACTGTAAATATCTAGCTACGAACCCGACCTGAATATATATCGTTACCATATCGGCCTTATATACCGTGTATCCGCGCGCGAGTGTGTTTATCAATTTTCAGAGAAGTTACTTACGTGGTTTCCGAAGGTATCGGCTGGTCGATCAATTTTTCTGACACCGGCGGAGGTGGGTACGGTTGCATCAGTGGCTGCGTCATTTCCTCGCCATCTAAAACCGAAAATTCACCGCGGTCGCCAGTGTAAAAATGAACGCGTTTCCTGACCAACTACTCGTCCAGGTCGATGACTATCGACCGTGGAATCGTCGCGAGTATCACTTCGAATCGTGCAAGCGAGAAATCAAAAAAGAACTTCGCCGATAAACCCATGCCAAATGACACGAGGAACGATGGCGGCGGATGCATAGGAATGTAACTTGTAAAACTTACATATCGGACAGGGGATATTTGTTTTACACTCTTGCTCGGTGTGCGGTCGTTCGGCTGGATCGCAGTCCTTCGAGATCGAGCCAATGGCGTCTCTGCACTCGATTGTCCTCGTCCTGACTCCGGTGCCGCAAGTCGTCGAACACTATCGATCACACCGGGGAAAGGATAAATTTTTACGTTGCTCGGCGCCGAATCGTTCGCCGAAACAAGGTCAATGGTTGCTCGACGATCTGATTATTTATTTTCACTTCAGTTGAAAGTTACAGGGTGTTACGGATTTGGCGGATCGTGAATATGAAGCATCAAACGCCAAGTTCTATTTTATGCTCCGCTTCATTTTCAACCTTTTATTTCGGCAAATGTGAACAGCTTTAGTTGGAACACGGCTTTTCACGGCAAGGAGGGAATACGAGGCGAGATAATACCGAAGTCGTTGCTGGATAAAGTCCATAGAAACAGGGGAGAACTGGCGGAGGAAAGGCAGAGCGAAGGAACAATAAAGTTCCGTGACGTCAGCGTGGAATCTAATTTCGTATACTAACTGGTATTTGCAAAGTTCCATTCTAATGTTCAAACAATTTAAAAGGTTCTTCTAGAACGACTCCTCGAAGATCGTTATCGAGGTGAGGTCTGCCACAGAATGTTAAGGAGTAAAAGGAGAAACGAGAGACATGATATTTCTCAACTATATTCACTTATGGTTTGCTTATGCTGAATTGTAATCTTTGCTGGCCTACTTTTCATTGGAAATATGATTTTCTCTCGGAACGAGAAAATGTCTCTTTGAATTTGTAACTGAATAATATTTGAGATCTGAAGCAATTTGTTCAGAATCAAATCATTATTGTCGTTAAATTCAGTTTCGGTCAAAGTAAAGAAAAAGTACACAGTAAAACGATGTACGTACGTAACTCGATTTAAAAAAGAAAAATAATACTAAATTTATACAATCCCGTTTCTTCAAGAGATAAATTTTCAAAGTCGACGATACGCGGCGAAACATTTTTCAACTTTCGAGAAGCAAATTTCTTGCTTCATTATCCGCCGAATGTATGGCACTCATGTACACGCGACGTGACATGCAGAAATATCGAACAAATTTCCTCTCGGCGTGTTGTAAATCCGGAAACAAAGCGCAGTGCCTGACCCCTTTGCTTTCTGTCATGAAAGATATGAAGTAATTGCTTCCGTCGATCGCTCGCGACGTAGAAACTCTTCTTTTTAGCCTTTTCGTTACGATTTGCGAAACAAACCCTGCGAACTACGGCAACACTGATGACATAATGTAACGAAGAGTCACAATGATTGCTTTTTCACTCTGACTGTCGTAACGACTGACGTTGTTCTCAAGTTACATTTATCACCGTAACAACGAATGCCACTGAAGAAACGAAATTCGAAAGCATAAGTTTGTTTCGTCTGCGTTAAATAATTTTATGCGCTCCCGTATAAAGTGTATAAAAACTCGTGGTTCAGTCGCATCCAAAATTTCAATATTCATCCCCTTGCCAACACTCGGGAAACAGAGAAATCTGATAGTAAAAAATATCAAGAAGTTCGAATCGAATTGAAATCCACGGCGTTGCGTGCTCTTTTCTCTGGGCCGATCAGATTCGCCTTTACGTCGAATCGAATCGCAGCCGAATCTCGAGAGTGGCAGGTGCCATTTTCAGTTTCTCTCGGCGCTGCGCGAGAGTTGTGAAGAATGAGAGAGGCAGAGTATCTCGTTGAAGCCGGTCTCGAACTTCTCTCAGCCAGAATAAAGTCTGTTGATCGGCAAGGTAAGAACCGGGAACGGTCTGAGCGGTTTAAAAGTGCGAGCGAGAGAAGGAGGACGAACAAAAAGTCCGGATACCGGAGCTATCGTTCAAGGCGTCGAAGGTGGAAAGGTGACATGAACGGGAAAAGCGGAAACCCACTCGACTTAGCCACTCTGCCTTCTCCTTTACTCCTGTTGTTTGCTTCTGTCCTCATTCTATCGTTCTCCGCATCTACCTTTCCTTTTTTCCCTACTTACCTCCAAGTATTTTTGCTTTCTTTTTTTTTTTCTTTCTTTCCTTCTTTCTCTTCCTTTACTTGCTACTCCTCTCGATCCGTTCAACCTGTCCATCTTCCACTTTACCTCAGCCCTTCTGTTTGCGTTTCTATTTCTGTTTCTCTCTCGCTTGTATATTTCTTCGCCTTGTCGAGCTGCCATCCACCCTTCTTTGTCCGAATCGCTATTTTCGCTTCTCCCCCCCCCCCTCCTTTTTTTTGTTTCATTTTGCTTTCACTTCACCACCTCGCCAATTTCCCTTTTCTTCTCTCGTTTCCTTTTCCCCGTTTTTTTAACTTCTACCCGATCTCAGCATATATTTCCCGTGTTCCCCGTTCTTTCACCTTCTCCCCCCTCCTCCCGTTCCCCTTGCTCCTCTTCTTAGAAGCATCAAGAAGGAGGGCCGATATCGTCGGAGTGCTTTAAGGAGGCCCTGTGCTTTCAGTTCAATATTTGCATGGCTCCTGTGCTCACAAAAGAGAGAAATCTATCAATTCCTGTCTTCCGGTGGTGGCTCTTTCACCCTCCCTCCCTCCCTCTTTCTCACTCGCTCGCTCGCTCGCGCTTTTTCCTTTTCTATAGCCTCGGATGAAATCATTACCGTGCTGACGGGTATAAGAGGGCTGCCTTTATGTATCGCTGGCACGAAAGGATACCGACGCCATCTCCTTGCTCCTGGCAGCCAGCACAGTTTCCTTCGTCAGCCGGAGCGAAGGCCATTGTGCATCGATCAAGCATGAGATGAGCCGTAAATCATGCTGCACACACTTTTGCTTACACGTGAACGAGGGGATATTTTCGTATCGTTCCCGAAAGCACGCTGTTTGCCGCTTTTGTTGTTATCGAGACTGATAAGCGCCAGATATTCTATCGTACAACGACCGGGATCTTTCTATTTTTAACATCGCCGACGAAACGACGTATAATCGTCGAAGATTTCAATACGCTCCGGTGGAACTTTCTCTATACTTGATTCTATGAACTTTCAAACTTTCTCTCTCTCTCTCTCTCTCTCTACGTACGAAAATACGAAGAAAGAAATGATTGAGACAAAGTGGTAGATATCGTTTTACGGTTTCTTTATTCTATTCCCGGAGTATGTGTAGCCAAAAAGATAATCGTTGTTCATATTGATCGGCGAGTAGAACGTCATAAATCATGCGGATCCCTTCGCTCGTGTACTTACGTGACTAGATTCTTTCGGCCCCCTCCCTTTCGCGAGCCGTATTGTGCGTAATAAACCACCCGGACGTTCGTTCAGCGATTCCATCGCGAAGATCAATGCGCAGAATGCTTTAATATCGCCTCCCCACGCCGAAGGAATTTTTCGCGAAGCATCGTATCTTTCGAATGCATCGGCGAATCTTCCATCATCCTCCTGAGTGTCTTGATTTCCATTCACAAAGGCAGAACGCGCAGAGAACACCAATCCGTTGAGAACATCCAAAGCCTAAACAATCGTGCGTTCGTCGCTTGTTTGAAAACGTGTCGGCATTAAGCTTTATCACGTTTATCACTTTGTACGTGTCGTACAGTCTGTCGACTGAGAAAACAAACCGCAAGAGGCGGGGGGAAATCGGTAATCCCCCGACTGTCGGAGAGGGGAGGAGAGCCGAGAGGTGGAAGTGAATTTTAACTTTCAAGTCCGCAGTCCGGGAATTTTTCCCTTCTTTTATCCCCCCCTCCACTGCGACGTAACGATCCTCCTTCTCTGCCAGAGACGCGGGATCTTGAAAATATTCCGAGGTGAAAACGATTCGTCGTTACCGACCGGCGTCATTATGAATTCGCACGATCCGCGAAATACCGACGTGCCTTTTTACGTTTATCGGCGAGGAGGAGGAGGAGGAGGAGGGGGAAGTAACAGTAATAAATACGTATCTGGGATGCGCGAGTGCATTTAGCGGCCTTTATGAATAAAGCATAACTTCGCTTGGCGGATTCCGCCGGGAATCCCGTTGATTTTTCCCACTTCGCGTGTACCAGATGGAAAGTTCTGCTCGTCCTCTCCGCGGCAGGAGGAGGAAGAAGAGGGAGAAAGGAAGAAAAGAGAGACAAACAACGCGACCTTCTCCCCGTACAAGTTGTCCCTTATTGTTGCGTCTCTTTGCACCTCTCATTGCAGTTTTATTCTTGCTGCTCGGAGGTTGCGTCAGCCAGCACCGGGATCGCGCGAAGTGAGTCACTTTTCTGCTCAGGCCGTTCCATTCGGGAACGGTTGCTTCCCTTGTTTCGCGCCTGGCAGCCTGAGATACGATGTTGTAAAATTTTATTGTTCCCAGAACTTTCTTCAGCGTTTCCAGTTTGTTTCTGAATATAAACGAAACGGTCTCTCGCGTGGCGTTACACAGCGAAGTTACTTTAATTTCTTCTCCACCGAAACGACCTCGTACCGTTCTCGCATTCCCGATGATATCTCTCCCCCCGGCACGGGTCGCCCGCTTTAAAAAGACGACGAGTTGTAATTTCGATCGAAACCTGCATTTGTAATAGCAACTTGACTGCGGATTGATATTCACGCGAATTGATATTTTCACGAAAAATATTTCTCCGACATATTTTACGTGCATTACACACACACACACACAAATACATCTCTGCGTGCTATGTGCATATCCTTGAATTTTCCATAAATGCATAAACATTTGAGATCCACCGATAATAAACGATATCGGCTTATGTTAATTTCCCTCGGCAGAGGACGGTCGTCTCCTGTGTGACGATCACAACCAACTAGGAAACAGCGTCGAACCAGCGACCGAAGCCGAGGTCGAAGTTTCACAATTATCGTACGCTCGTACATAACCGTACGACAATGTACGAAAAGTTTTCGACGTATCGGGCTGAAACAGAAATCGGAATGAAATCCGAAAGCGGTCCAGCCGTAGCGGGACTTAAATTTCCATAAACGCATGAAATCGGACGTCCCCGAAACCGAAATGCCTGGAACGCTTCCAGCAGATATCGTGCTTTTCAGGGCGCGCGGTTGTTCGGCCGGCACAAGAAATGGCAGTGAGTATAGAGCAGTGAAGAGCTCGGTTCGTGGGATGGAGGAGCGGAGAGAGTCGGTCATCGAGCATCGGTGCCAAAACGAGCACAGTGGGAACCACCCTGTAGACGCCACCGAGTCGTTCGAGTCTTTTAACAATGTGCATCCCCTGTATCTGAATCGCATTTATTACGTACGCGGGGCGCGCGTACGAATTTCGTGGAGGGAAGTCACGGAGTACATGCTGCAAAGCTGCAACCGGCGACGCACTTGGCGGCGAGCCCCTTGATGCCGTGTCTCGAATCGATTTGCACTCGCGTTTGTAACCACGTACATACATTTACGAGCGCGCGTTGGTGTGTGTGTGTGTGTGTGTGTGTGTGTGTGTGTGTGTGTGTGTATGTGTGTGTGTGTGTGTGTGTGTGTGACATGGTGTACGTGCACGTGTAAGTCCACCACGAACGCAATCGACAACGATGAATTCGTCGAGCAACGCCAGGCATTTTCCACGAGAATGCACCCTCTTACACTCTTCTTCGTCCTGCTTTCTCGCTTTCTTTCGCCTCTCTCCTCTCGAACCTCTTATCGCGCCACTATTTTTTTTTTCCAACCTCCGTTCGTTTGTCTTCCGCCTCGCTCCCGACTTCTTGCCTTTTCAACCATCGCGAAATGTTTTGTCGAACGTATCTCACCCACCCATTCCTACCCTCCCCCCCGACAAAATCGCCGGCGAATTTTTTTCCATGTCCGTTCCGTTTCCCCGTACGGTGCTGCTGCTCCCTTTTGTATTTGCTTTTATTAAAATCCCACGCCGGTGTGGTGGTATATCTACGTACATGTACGTAGTGAGATTGAATTACTCGTGGCTCGTGGAAGTGTGACGTAACAATTTCTTCTTTTTTTTTTTTTCTGCAGGGATGCCCACGCGGAATCCCTGTGCGTTTCATTTCGTTCATCGTCACAATCCGTCCATCGACGGATGAGACCTTTCATTTGATTGAAAACGTTCCTCCACTCTCTTTTCCGTTCTTGTTTCTTGCCTCCCGTATTATTCATACCTTTTCGTCCCTTCGTTTCTTTTCTTTTCTTTTTTTCACTCGACCTCGAAACCACGAACACGCTCTCGAGGACCACGCATTTTTTGTCCTTTCGACGCGAAACTACCACGAAGATCGTTCGAGCGGGAAGCGTTCAGTTTTTTGCTTCTTGGAAGGGCGATACGAAGCGCGAGCGGAAAACCCCTCGTCGAAAGAGGGAGCGAACCGCGAGAGCAAGGAGGTTATTCGACGGGACTAAATCGTCCTGTTTGATGTCGATGGTTGACACGGCCGCTGGAACATCTTCAAAGAGCCCCCGAGAGAGCATCAAGGAGGACAGACCTGGAAGACTGAAGTCGAAGGAGAAATTCTTGCTCGATAGACACACTTGGAAAAAGAGAGGGTAGACGAGGCAAGTGTAACCAGGCCGCGTGTTTATCGAGAACGGGAAGCTTAGGCGCTTCGAATCGCTCTTCGCGTCGTCAACGCGAAAATCTACCCCTTCTCTCTCGTCTGCTTTCACCTTCGTTTCCGCGTTTCCGTTGCCTTTTCCCGCGGGTTATTGGTGGATCCGCGGTAGCTGTTATGCTCGGTCGAGTTCCTCCGGGTTTCGAGAAAATCCGATTTAGGTAAATTTCTGGTGCGCGCAACGTCAGACGGAGGGGAGTGGGAGTTCTTTGGATTCGGCACGCTCTGCGACGCTTTACCGCGAGGCGTTAATGTCGTTAGAGCCGAGAGGTACGGGGAACGGGAAGCAAAAATGTTTGAGCAAATTAAGTGCTTTCCGACCACAGAGGAGCGGCGGCTGATATAAAATTACTGGCAGGAAGGAAACTGTCTTGTGGCTCGTTTCGCTGTTCGCTCGGCGAAGAGAAAGTTCCAAAAGACTTTGAACGATGGCTCCTGAACCTGCTAATTTCGTTGTGCTCTCTTTTTTTTTTTTTTTTCTTGCCCCGTTGTTGTACACCACGATGTTCCCAGTCCGAGTGTTTCTTCTTTTCCACGGGTTTACGAACGTTCGCCAAGTTGGCAGTTTCGAAGTTCGTCGAACGTCGAAGTTCGAATAATAAAGTTTCGCTTCCCCGCCGATAAATATCCCTCAGAGACACTACAACATTTTTATGATTCGTTCCAGTCGAGTTGATCTGAAGTGCTGGTCGTACATCTCGAAACTTTGGTCGCAGCTTCGAGCGATTCTAACTCATTATATATATATATATATATGAAGAACAAGGGAAGGTGAACGACTCGACTTTGACATCAATCTCGTCAAAATTCTGAGCCGATCAGAGAGGAGAAACGTAAAATTACATTCCCGTGGCTGCTTGGGCCAACGTTAACTCGCAGCGAAACGCGATAACAAAACATCCGGCTCGCACAAAGCAAATTGTAGAACGAGTTTCATTTCCCTTTGCAACAATCAGCCCGACCTGTTTACTGTTCCCGGAGGAAATCGGATTTCCTGATACGAATAGACAGATATAACCAGATAGAGAAAGGTTACACGTTCGCCCGTCTCATCCGCGAAGCCCGTTAACGTCCTTTTAAGAGACAAAAGGTTCGTCTAACTCGCATTACGACTTTAACCCCGCCAGATAGAAATTATTCCCCAGTGTTTATTTAACGCGGGATTGCGCATGTTTTATCGTCTCGCTCGCAAATCTCTACGACGATTCTAATATAAAACTGATCGACCTTCGGCCGTGTAAACAGCAACGTGCACGCGCGATCGACGAACACGCAGTAAATAAGTCGGAATTCCGAATAACGAAAATTTCCTCGGTCGGTGTTTTATCTCGAAGGTGGATTGAAATTTAAAAGCTCGTCGAAAACAAAATTCCTTTTCTTTACTTTTTATTTATTTTCGTTACGTTTGCATGCTCGATCGGAATTAGTCGTACCAACGTGCTCCAACGCAAGTTTTCAAACTCGATTTTCTTCGGAAACAAAGCTTCGAACGCAAAAGAGAAACAATTTTTATTCCACTCTGTCGATTTACTTTCGCGCATGGAAAATAATCTTTTGTCCAACTGGACCACCTGGCGAGTTTATTTGAATATCTCTGTACGACGAGGAATCGACAGTTCTTCTCTATACTGAGAAACAAGAGTGAGAAATGAGTTCGTAACTGCAGCGATTTAGAGACCAGTTCCCGAGTAGAGTCATCTTGACGCGATAATAAATACTGCTCTGACCGTGCTTCGTGTAGGTTGAAAGACCGTCACACCAGGCAACAATAAATACTCCTTCCTTTCTCCGTGTGGCATCTCGCGGAGCCCTAAATTCCACCGTCAGGCGAATGACTTCGGTCTGTCTGCGCCGGTATCGCTCCTGCTGCTCGTTTTGCATGTTACACGGCGTGTTCACGCGCGACGGTCGCAGTTCCGGTACCTGGGATTGTCTTGTACTCACCTCGCTCCATTTATTGGTCTCCCACATGGGACACGAGATGGTGTTGCAAGTTTCTTGGTTACGGGGTTTGTGCGTGCTGCTGCATTTGTGGTCGGGTAGCTGAAATACCAAAGATCTCTGTTATTTGATTCAAACGTACGAATAAATATATACAATTTTGCAATTAGTCGGCGTGTATTAAATGAAACGCACAGTTTTGATTGAACGCTGTTACAAGGCTCTTATTATCAAAATGTACGCGGAAATTACAAGATACTTGGTCAATTATCATTATGTTAATAAAATTCGTGACAATTGCATTTTTTCACCGCAGTGCTGATGAAATTTCAAAATGTTTTACGCATTTGTTGCAAGTATTTTTTTAGAAATTGTCTAGAATTTCTTTCGCGAGTTACCGCACGTATCTTTGAAGATTTAAGTATATTTCATTTATTAGAAACCACACGTAAAATTCTCTTATCGTCCATGTCTTCCACTAAGGGGATCATCTACTCGTTCCTTGGATAAAACACAAAGGGATCGGCACAGAAGAAGATGCAAATTCTCACGGCGCACGATACGTCGTGTCTAGCCATACGTATCTCCGCAACGAGTACGTGTGCCCCTGTCTTGTCGAGCCTCGGATGAGAGAATTTTACGGTGGTTGACAGAGAGAACCGCGAACGGCCCTTGCAGCTTCAACGAGCCGAACTGGGTTAGGGTTCGTGGGTTTTGCCAGGTTGTCGTAGCCAGCGGAATGGACGGATGCACAGATAGACACGTATCTCTCTGTGACAATTCTAGGAGGGATCGTGACGTGAGCGTGTCGTGTCGGCAGAGCCTCAAGGACGTAGGGAATATTATCAATTACGTTCACGCGGGATATAAATTCGTCGGGGTTCGCATCAACTCGAACTCGAGGCGAGCGATAGCGAACAGGATATTTCAACGATAAAGTGGGACGAATTTTCGATTACGTTATCGTTGTCGTTATCGTTGGCTCGACCGTACGATATCGTACGTACAAAGTATATTTCCCAACCATAAATCCCGCAGACCGAGGCGGCACCGAACTCGAACGTCGACACGTTGAACTTTCGCGAGAAACCGAGAATAGAATTACCGTTTGCGCATAGCGCAACACGATGAAAATAAAATCCGATGGATTTTTCTTTCGCTCGGCGACGTTTCCGTTTCGTTTCGATTCGTTTCCTCTGGCGCCAGCCGTCAGAACAAGCTCGCTACCAAGCGTGCTCCTCCGTAAAGGAAAGGAAAATCTCGGGATTTAATATAAAAGAATATCGCGTATTTAAATTATCCCAATTCCGGTTCTTATTTACCTTCGCAGTCTCGTTGCCGTTCTCCTCCGTACAGAAAATGTTTCTCGTCCTCGATCCGCCGCCGCAGCTAGCGCTGCACATGCTCCATTCGCCGGCTACCCATCTGGAAATGTAAAAAAAGAAAAGAATCAATTGAAACGCTGGCAGAGATGTAGGCCTGTTACGTAACGTATTCCTATATACGTTACGTACGTACATATGTAATGATCAAAGCTTCATATTACTGTTCGTTCTAACGAACATTCAAAATATCGATCTTGGCGAAGAAAGCAAGTCTCTTTTTAAAGCATCCACGGTGAAAAAGTTTGAAATCGTTTTGGAAAAAACGTTCGGCAACTGAGTCTATCCCATCTTCCCTTCGACGAGGTTCTCGTTCAGGCGGAAGTCATCTTTGATTATTGCAATTGGATGACGATCGTGGAATTTTCGTTGTTGAAACAGTGTACAATCCAAGTTAGTTCCTACGACGAAATCTTTTTCCCGACTGAAGCGAATTTTCACACGTTCGATTAATCTTCCGATCGGAAGTGAAAACTTTCAGTGAACGACCGATCGGCGTTGAACTTGTAACTTGTAACGATAGCGAACGGCACGACACTTTAAAATATCGTCTGTCTTTATTATTTGTTGCAGTCAGTCTCACGTTCGAAATACGATTCAGCGAGACTTTGATGGAAGGAAACGTTCGTTGATTCGAGGAGTGATGATCGATAGAAGCCGGAAAAATGCAACTGAAGGAACGTTAATCCCCACAGACTTTTTCAATTTCCGCTACATCGCGTGTTTGCGGGGCGAAAGTGTTCACGAGTCGCCAGACGAATCTATCGATCGTCAGCATGAAAGTTTTGCTCGATACACGACACGAGCGGGCTCTGCTTCCCCGCTCTCGTCCCGTGTAACACATGTAAACCGTATCGATACGTCCATCGAGCTTGCCGATTATTTTGTCCGTTGTTGTTCGAATATAAAAGCCACTGTTGTGCTAAGAAAGCAGCTGCTCCGTAGCACGCGTAGCATCTGATAAAAATGTTCTCCTTCTTCCTCGAGATTTTTTTCTCCCTTTTTTTTTAGCGTTTGTTCGTTGTAGAAGCAAAGTGAAACACATTAACACGTTCGTGGTCGTATCTCGACAGCACTGTCCCCTCCCCCCTCCCCCCCAGTGATTGATAACGTTTCCTTGATGTACTTTGTATTTTAATACGTTGACTGTCTCTTGTTGGATTATTCATTCTTTTGATCTCGATCTTGAAGTCACAAATTATTTTACTTTGCCATTTCATCTTTCCAGTAGTTGGATTATTCAACGATAAATGAATTGAATTTATCTTTTGTCTAATTATTCGTTTCTCACGTCCTGATGATCTCATGGTCGGAAATTATTTCACTTTGCCATTCATTTCTCCAATACTAATTCGAAGGTTAATTATCAGAACGCGTGGATTCACATTCTTACGCCCAAGCTCAAAGAGATAGAAGTTAGGTAGAAAAAAATTTATTCACCGACGAAAGAAATAATTTCCTTTGTTAGCTTTGTTCATAGTACCTCTCGCGCATTGTTCCTCTGTTTGGCCTTTCGAAAGGAAATCGATTCACGTTTCAGTATATAAAATTCGCTGCGAGTTTCATTTCTGACAGAAAAGACTGCCTTATTTCTCGAACTCCAAATTACCTTCCCTGCTCGAACGTTTCGACAATTCTCCCTTAACGCGGTACATTACGCGTTCATGATTCCCCTATAGTGTGCCTAACCGTCAACCACCATGTTTAATTACCTCTCTCTCTCTTAGCCTGCACAGATTATACAGCCAGATTCTATACGCGATTCTGGCCGATCGATGTTAGTAGCCGGATTGTGAGATTAATCGTCAAATGTTCCGGAAAACGCTTAATGGAATTTAATTGGGCCTGTATCCCTAGCGCGACATAGAATAATAGCCGCTGAAGTATTCAGTGGCTTAATACACAGTTGCGGGTAGGCAGCGGTTTAGGAATCCCGGTTCTCCTGGGGGATAACTGAAACGCCGACCACTTTCCCGGCCTCTGACTGAACCGAATTAAACTAAATTCTCCGCCCGGCCAATTAGCACCAATTTAACGTTGACGAGGCCCACTCCGCTCGCTGATTTATTAACCTTTGTGGCCCGTTAACGTTGCCTTCCCCCGATTTTTCACCTTCGAATTCAATTCAGCAATCGCCGCGCTCCCTCGTTCTCGCAACGCGAATATTCCCGATTAACGAACGGCGACGTTCGTTAAATTATTCATAGCTCAATGGCCAACTCTATCCCGCGAATCGTTTTGTCGGACACGTTCTCGACTTGCAACTGTATCCGAGATTTTCAGAACGTAGACGTAAGTCAATTTTAACTTAATTTTAACTTCGATGCTATTCCGCGAACGCACGCCTGAACGATAGATAATTATATCTAGAAAAAACGAAATCTGCACTGATTCTTTGGTCGTACCTTCGTGAAGATGTGAACTTTGCATACACTATGAAGTTGCATCTGCATTTCGCTATGAATTTCCAGATCTTTATCTTCTGTTGCAATTCAATTTTATCGCACAGTTCAACCCAGGTGCCATCGGGATATGCAAATAACTGGAATAGTTGTTAATTTAAATTAAAACCAGGCACTCCAACATCAAGTGACGAAAGCTGAAACCGGCGCACTGTATATTGTGCACGAGCGAAAGCTTCGAGAACCTTATTAAGTCGATCAATTATCCCCGGCTGATATTTGCTCATGTTCGAGAAGCATCCTCACAAGGCCGGGCACAAGTTAAAGAGGAAAATATGGCGCGAATCAGTTGCGTGATTCGCCTCTTGCGGGAAAGTTAAACGGTAGTTCGAGTAACCCGAGCCACTCGAGATTCTAGTTTGGTGCAGCGTTAAACCATAGAGTTCTTGGCTACGCGCATCATCCAAGTGGCGAAGTTTGCTACGGCCTAGCCGCCGTATAATAACGTTGAACACCGGCCCAGAGGCAACTTGACGGGGATCTTGACGAAGATTTTCATAATTTAGCTACAGCCGACTGTTCTTTGTTGGCGGCGTCTCGCGTGTCTTCGCGCACCGTCCTCGAATTTTGCTGGCTGGCGAGATGATAAAACGACGCGGGATTAGAGATTAAATCCGGCCATTGGCGACAGATACGTTTCGCGACGCGTCGCCACGCACGACTCCAGAAAGCAAAAGGCACCGTTTTCCATTTCCCCGGGAGACGAGTTACTCCCGCTCTGGAACACGCGAGTGCGAATTTGCGTTTGAAATATCGCGGCGCCACGGACGAAAAAATTCGTTTCCATTTATAGGATGACAACGTATTTCTCTTCAAATACTGCGCTCCACTCGGCGTTGTTGCGTTCTTGAAATTTCAGTGAAAATAGCAGAGAGCGAATTACGATGATAAAAGTGAAACGAATTTCTTGGTGAAATCGGAACAGACCGATTTTCTTTGCTGCACGTATATAATAGATTGATTAATATAATAGAAAAATTTTGAACTCTGTTAATTTTGCTATTCTTTTATCGGCGTTTTCCGTACGCAATTATCATACACACGCTTCATTTACCTAAACTTAAAATTAATCCTTGATTATACGAATAAAATATTGCTAGTTGAATCCAGTTATTTATATTTCCTATAATAATAAAGAACTATTTATAACACTTATTTATATTTCCTATGATAATAAAATATACGAACCATTGCTAGTTGAATCCACTTATTTATATTTCCTATAATAGTAAAGAACTATTTATAACACTTATTTATATTTCCTATAATAATAAAGAAAAAAAATCAATGAATTTCTATTGTATTCCAACAATAAAAGCTACTTCTTCCACGACAAATTTATGTGAATAAAAGTCTACTGTACCTGACTAACAAAGCTAAGAATTTCGTGCAAAATACAGTTGATCGATTCAGCCACTGAAAGAGGGCCTCTCACCGAGAGAAAGTGACGGCGAAGAAAAGAACAGATCGATGAACGAGTGAAATAGACATCGATCGACGAGAAGCTTCCGCTGGTCATCGAATCATAATTTCGTTCACAAAGGAGAATGATTCAGTATACACGCCCGCTGTGCAACGACCTGCTACATTTTATATCCGGTAAGAATGGTCGGCGGCGAGATTTTTTTTTCTTTTTCTCTGTCCGAACTTGGTGGCCGAAGCAGTGTTTGCCTGTCTGGAGAACGATTCTCATCGGGAGCTAGCTTTAAAAGCGCCGCTTTTTATCCACCGTTTCCTTTATTCGGACAAAGAACAGGCCGTATCGTTCCAAGAACTAAGATTGCGCCTTCGAAAAAATATCCTCGGGACGTTTCTCTGCTCCCCTTCCCCTTCTCGTTATCCCGTCCCGATCGTTACGCTTTATCGCGAACAGCTTCATCGTGCCCGCGCACGTTCGTGTTATGAATCAGAGAAATAAATTCGCCGTTTGTTCCGTTTGCATCGTTTAAGAGACACTGAGAGGATCCCGGGATCGAAATCGTTTCTATTTCCCCGTTTGATTCATTCTTCCATTGTAACGATCTTCTCCGCGAGAATGTAGACTGAATCGAGGATTTTTGCGCGCTAGCGCGAGAAATTTGAAGAATTTTATGCAAAAAACGCAAACTGAAATCTTTAATATCCAACTTTCACTTTTTTTAAATTCTGTTTTCAAATAGAAAAATCTCCAATTGCGATATTTTTATTTGACGCGTTTATTTCCCTTTTTTTCGCGAACTACAGGCTGCGAAATATTCTCCGAATACCAATAAATAAGCCGTGGATTTTACAAATGAGCCCCGTTTTTTTATAAATAAGCTTCGTAGAAAACAAATTGGCTCGTGTCGTTGAAGGGAACAAGGTATAAACCAAGCGTCATCGAATAGAACGGAGAACTGTTTCCTACCAACTGTGGAGAGATTCGTAGTATAAAGGTCGAAGGATTTCTTTAAATAACTTTCTCGGAGGCACGGAATCGTCCAGATCCAACGATGGTCCCTTTACGGCTGGCGTCACATCGTTTCACGACGACGGTTCTGATCACGATCCTCCGCAGGAGCAAACGCGCTTTACGTCGGCGCGAGTCGTTGGCTCGCAGGAAAAACAGCCATATTCGTCGGACGAATTGTTTGTTCGACAATCGGGACATTCTACTTCCTCCGGGTCGCAGTTGTTCCATGACACGCGACGTTACGTTAAAAAATGAAAGAAAAAGATGTGAAAAATGTCTACGGTGTAAACTGGAGGAAACGGACTGACATTGGTTACCACGTATATAGGTGTGTGTGTGTGTGTGTGTGTGTGTGTATGTGTGTGCAAAAACAAAGGCGACAAGAGAATCGCGACTCACTTTCCAATTGCTTTTTTATGATAATCGGAAAAGAGCGACAAGACGGTAGAATTTTTATGAAAATCTGGACGAAGATTCTTCGCGATTATATTTGTACAATGATTGATATTGATTCGTATAATGTAGCGTAGAATGTTTTAGTCAAACGAGTAAATATTATACGTGGATGTATATTAATTGTTCAGTATATTATGCGAGTGTATATTTACTCATCTGACTGTCCGATTGTCGAACCTCTGCTAGAAACTAGATAAAATTTCTGGAAATTCTGAATTAATTCCTACTTCTGATTAAATATATCTCGCGTGAATTCATATATATATACATTTCAGTGGATAGTCGTGTTTATTTAACTTGATGTTTTCACTGTATCACGTAGACAACAATAGCAAACTATAATAATGTTGTTTTCGTAATTTCGTAAATTTCATAGATTTCGTCACTTTCGTCGCGGTTTCGTCGTTAAATGCACATAGTGCATTAGTGCGATCAAGTCAGCACTGTATTATTAGGGGACGAACTATATTATTAGTCGATATCACTGTTAATCGAGTAATTAGAAGAGGGACGGTTTCAATAAATTATCACAGTCCTCTCGAACAATATAATTGTCCCTCATTTACGTGCATCGGCGCAACGCGTCAAATTACTAATTTTCTGAAAATCAATCTAACAACACGACGACAGGCGCGAGAACGTGTTCTAAAAATCTTAAATATCGCGGTGCAATATTCGGCAATATTCGAGAGAGGTCCCATTCGGAGCACCTTGTTCGCATAACCTGGCTCGCAAGGCGATAGCTACACTAGGGTGGGCTAGGTAGCCGTTTCGATATTCAGCGAGCGATCCCAGCCAAAGTGTTCGCAATCGGTGCTTTCGACGCGGAGAGGAAAAGAGAGGGTGTGTCTCCGTTGGCGAAAGGCACCGGGTGCTTGTTTTTCCAGGTCTCTCTTTCAGAAAGAGGCCCGCCGGGCTTTTGCTCTTTCCCACTTCGGCCCGTTCGACTAATGGCCGTTCAGCCCGCTTGAAAGCCTCCAGCCTATCGTTTCCGAGCCCTGGCTCTCTATTGCGAGACCGTCTGCACAGCCGTCGTATACATTTCTGCGCGCGTTGCATCCACGAGTGCACACGCGTTGCATACGTACGTGTATACATGCACGGGCGACGTCGGCCTGTCCAACAATAATCGGGACTGCTTGCTTGCTTGCTTTGTCCGCGGCCACGGCGAGGAAATTGGTCAGAGCCAGGAAGATTGGCCGGCGTTAATCCCAAAAGTAGGAGTTCCGATTTCACGAACAGCACGTGGAAAATACGGGAATTTCGAGCAGCTGCGCGAACGTGCTCAACGGGTCAAACATTCCCCGGTCTGCTCGTAAAACTGAAACGTTCAATCTCGTACCGCAGGGGGAGGTTCGCCCGTCGATTAGAACAGCGTTAATGCAGTTGCTAATCCTAGACTCGAATCCTACTACAGATCCAACCTCTGGACGCAGAGCGTTTCGAAAACTTGGAAACTGCCAATAATTTTTCTCAACACGTCCTTACGTGAGATACATTAGTAAATTCATTGCGAAACACGTCATTAGATCTAGTGTTTGTTTGCTGCATCTTCGTTCTGACTTTTAGAGACCGTTTCCCACATTTGTTGTGATATTTTAATAAATCTTTAGACTTCGTGCGTTTACTTTCTCGCTCGTACCCATAGAATATTTGAACGAAGCTCGAAGAAACCTGGAATCACTCATACTACGAATTCTTCGCGTTAAATCCTGTATCCCAAAGAAATCGCGCGAGGAAAGTTGAGTCATCAACGTCTCGAACACCTCGGTCCATTCAACGCCATTGATCTCTGAAATAGAGATATCGGATCGAGTCTTTTTCTCGGCGACGATGGTGGAAGAGTAATGAATAGAGATCCAGACGCGGAGGATCAACGTCGTCCTCGATGGAACTGTCTTCTTTTTACTTCCTAGTCGCGATTCTGTGCAAACACGTCGTTCATGACATGTGAAAAATACCCATCAAACGCTGCACTCCCTATATATTTATTTTGTATTCACTGTAAGTCACACGTTTCGCTCCGGTATGAAAATCTGTGTATTGGTTCAGCGACAAGGACACTAGACGTTAGATCAGACGTTGAAAGAGGTACTCACTTTGCACTGCAGGGATGCGTGTTGCACGGTATCAGGGTTTTTTCGGGCTTGTTGTCCGGATCGCAGTAGCTATCGTCCACCACGTTCTCGTCAGAACCGACAGCCTTACACACTGCCATCGCGATCTTGAAACCTGCCAAAAAGAAAGAGAATCATAAGCTAGCAAAGTGATCCTTTTTTTCGAGAAGTTGGTGATCGTGTCTGATTATCGTCGCGATTATCTCAAGAAATGAAAATGAAGCAGAAGCATTGAACGATACTTGGAAAACTGAGAAACGTGCTGACATTGGCCCCACACACACACACATACATATTGAACCCCTGCGATGAAATTGTAATAATTTAGAAATTAATTTAGAATTTAAAAAGAAAAAAAATTCCTCTAGTGTGTACAAAGTTTCAATTGTAACTTTTACACTTTAAAATACTTGAGGTATGAGTGCTCTTTTTTAATACTTTTTTCGCAAATCTTTCACGAAAACTTATTTATTTAAAATAACAAATATTCACGTAAGCTTTGTTCCGTCTTTCAATTTCCTAGTGTGTTCTACTTATTACACGTTCTAAAACGCAGAAATGATATTTTTTCTGTAAAATTTCATCTGTCTCGAACGCCCAAGAATTCCGTTTATGAAAATCTACGAGGCAAATTTAGCGCACCGGTGGACGAAAATCCTGCCCCGAACGATAGATCCTCATTTCAGAAATATAGCGGAATCCCCTTTAAATCTTTATACTATTTTCCACTTTGCGAAACCGCGCGGTCGATATAATTCAAAACGTTCAAATCATTTGAAACGTTCCATTTCGTGGTCGAAAAAATTCACGGAAATAGACGAAGAAATAAAACGCGTGCAAATATCCTCTGTGCTTTTCTCCCGTGCGTACAGGACAAAATACGGGAGTTGGTCTCAATTATCAAGTAAGCTTCAGTTCTAAGTTTCAGGACAACAATTTCAGAATTTATAACATTACGTATTGTTAGTTAAATTATGTCAATGCATTTTTCATTGATGCAGAATAAAGAATACGTATAAGATTACGTATATTTAGTCCTATTATGAATTAAGTTAATGTATCTCCCACCGATGTAAAAGTATAATTTGGTCAAATTATATGATATTAAAAATAAAGTTAATATAAATTCTCATTATAAATAAAGTTGATGTACCCTCCGTTGATGCAAGACACTGGTATAATTGAAAAAAAAATTTGCAAAGTGACACGAGACGAGACGAACGTAACAAGATAAGAAGTTTCATCGTACGAAACAGCAAGAAAGGGAATTCCCGAAGTTGAAGGAGTAGTACAACGTAACGATAGGCGGGGAGATCGACCGGTCTAAGTAGCCGTTATTAATTTCGGCAAAGGGTCCGTGGAACGTTTAACGATTCGCGAGCTCAAAGTTCATTAGAATTCATTGCTCCCAGCGTCGATGTAAATGGACTAGCCGCCGGGTGAACTAATTGTAAGTGCTTCAACCGAATGAACTTCGTAACCAACCACTCACCTCCGCCGCATGATTTCGAGCAGGCGGATATCGATTCCAAACTCCACGAGTATCGCGATTGGCAGCTCGATCCGTTTCCTCCGCATACGCCGCATGGGTCCGTGTTCTTGTTGCTGCCGACTCGCAGGTCGCAGCCGACTTTCTGAAACAGAAATTACACAAGTCTGGTGTTAATAAAACCGAGCTCGATGCCCTTCCTTTTTTTTTTTTTTTTTTTTTACCAAAGGTTTCTCGCGCTGAAACTAGAGTTACACTCGAGAAAAAATTCATTTACAAATTTGTAAAATTATATTTTCACAGAGGTGGAGAACACAAAGAAATGTAACACAATATTTCACGATATTAATTTTTTGGGAAATCCTGGACTTTCGATTCTAGGTCAATAGTGGGGATTTGTGTTTGAAATTTTTGCAGAAGCATGAGGAAACGTTGGAGAATTGTTAATTTACAGTTACAGGGGGCTCGTAATGGATCCCACTTTAGTCAATTGCTTCGAATTTTCCATTTGTATTAGTAAAATTATAAATATCTAGCCCTTGTACTTGAATCGACTGTACGAAACACACATCTCTTTTCCTTCTCACGTTGTTTCCCTTTCCTAATTATTATCTTCCGTTATAACTTAAGCAAATCTCGTTCGCGTGATCAAATAGATGGTAAATCAGTACTTAAACACAGAGGAAGGTCTATGCTAAGTCGCCGTTTTACAACAAACGGGAGCGATTGGTCCTGGAGGGCGCATAATCTAAAGACGATCCCGCGCTATGTCACGCACCCCCGGGAGCAACTTCGATTTGCAATAAACTAGAACTCTAACTCAGTCTCTTGATACCAAGCGTGTCGCAACGCGAAACAAATTTCGGCCCAGGCGATCTGCTGCGCGAATTTTCGTTCCGAATTTATTCCTTCTTTCAATCGACTTGTCCCGTGTTCCTTTGTCCCGTGTTGTCAAACGCAAATAGAAGACGAAACAGAACGGATAGCGAGTGTATCGAGCGGAGCTCGGGCATCGAAAGATTAATCAATGAAAACGAGGAGAGGAACGAGGCGAGTGTCACTTCGCGGAATCTGAATGCAGCTATTGCTGCTCCGTACGAATGCGGCAGTACTTTTCGTGAAGGAAGAAGAGAAGGAGAAAGAAAGACAGAGAGAAAGAGAGAGAGCGAGAGAGAGAGAGAGAGAGAAAAAATAGAAAACGCGAATGAGAGAAGCTGACGTCGATTCGTGACCTGGCTCGGACGGCAAACTGATTTGTCATTCAGGCTGCATGGAGGTTTGCTCCGAGGTCGGGAAGTACATTATTCATCCCTTATCCGGGCGAGAAGAGCGAACCAAACTGGTGGCGAAGACGCCGCGCCGGTGGCAAAGAGGAGACGAGACGAGGAGGGATATAGATGGAACGAGGAGTAAAAAGGAGAGAGAGCCTAACGAAATCCGATCGGTTGCCGCTGATCGAAGATTTTTATCAGGCCGGTGTCGACGATTTGAATATCTGTTTAACAACTGTCAGGACACTCGCCTCGGCGTTCCTGAAAGTTACATCTGAATGCGTGTCGACTGGATTTCAGACTTTACGTGCCTGTATCACTGAAGATAATTGAATTATCGATTTATTATATTCGTTTTTAATGACAAGAGACATTGACTTTAAAGTCGTATCGCACGAGCAACATCGAACCACTATTTTTCATTGGTTCGATTGGTTCGATGAAATCGCTGGCATGCTCGTACGTACGTATTGTTCGATCGACTGGCGGATTAAATATAGATGCAGATACCTCGAGGTACGATCCAACGAGCTTCGAGAAGCTAATACCCAATCTCGACGGCAGTGCAGCAGAATTTTTCGATAAATTCTGTCAATCCGCTGTCTCGCTTAAGCAAAAGCGCGTGCAACGCGCTCGCTCGCGTCTTTCCTTTCGCCGGGAACACGTTCGCCGCTCGCCAGCATTTAGAAACAGCATTTACACTTCTTGAGGGAGGGAGGAATTCTTCGACAGTTGGAGGGCACCGTTCCGCTCGCGAAAATTCCACGTGGAAAGTAACTTTGGTGAATCATGTTTCTCGACGGGGAAGAAAGAGCAGAGAGAAAGAAAGGAAAAAAGAATTGAAAAACGGGGGAGAAAAAAAAAATAAGGTAAGAAACGAGTGAAAGAGCAAAAGGGGAGAAGTTGAAGTCAGGGGAGTTTATTCGCTCGCACACGAAGTACGATTTAACGGAGCCATTGAATAGCATTACAACTTCGGTTTGGAAAAAAAAGGAAGAAGAAAGAGGAAGGAAAAAGGAAAGAAAAGGGAGAAGAGAAACGCAAAAGAGAGAAAGGAAAAAAAAGACGAAAGATCAAACAGTCTGGAGGAATCGAATAGGACTTGTTCGCGATACCGGTAGGACGAATTGAGATTTAATTTTACACGAGGTCGGATTCGTTCCGCGACCTTTCTTCGACTCCGTGCACCGATGCACGTGCGCATCCATTGTACGATGCTTGTGTAGGAGGTCGGCCTCGAGTACACCGCTGGGAATTCGAATGGAGTTTAAATCTGGAATAGCGATTTTAGCAACACGTCGAAACAACGTACCTCGTTTCTCTCTTTTTTTCTTTTTTCTCTTTTTCTCTGTTTTCATTCCCTTTATTTTTGCCAGTCTGACTCGGCTCGACCCGTTTTAACCAGGCTTACGAAATGGGATCTCGCGGCTCGTTATTTGAAGAGTCGGTTTTTTAATCGAGCGAGCTCGTGTCACGACGGCGAGATTTGCGATCTTTTCTTTTTTTCAAGCTGCAGATGCAACGTATTTACACCGTACACACGGCAGGGACAGAAATCTTCTGTGATTGTTTATCACGAGTGTTCGACTGTGTCAGAGATGCACTCGTCTCTCGCAGGATGCTTGAAATCAAAGCTTGCGAGAGACAAGTGTGAGACCGGCAGACTAAACGCAGGAAAAATCAAACAGAATCTAGAAGGAGAAAACATACGAATTATATCGACATGCACGGCGAAGTTAATTACTGTCAACCACGTTGCGCTGGCAACTGATTGCGGACCGTAACGAGTGACCGGACCGTATACAATAATTCGTCGCTTTCTTTTTGAAGTCGTCGGTATATCACTGGATGGAAATTATTGAGAAATAATAAATTTATTATTTGTTTTGCCTGGGTTATACTTAAATATACTTAAAAAAAAAAAAAAAAAAAACTGAGAAAATATTGCAATTTTGGGACAAAAAATTTTCGACGTGCATGGCATGTCATTCCAGCGCAAGAAGTTAATAAAATTTCGAAATGTTTTATTATAACACACTCGTAGAAATTTCCAAACGTATTCAAACAGTTTCATCAGCCAGGACAAATGCATTTACCAATTCTTTGTTAATATTCGAGAACGAGTTGATGTAATTTTCATCCGTTTCTCGAAGGACAACGGCAGCGAATTGAAAACGACCCTTATTTCGAAACTCATTTTGGACGTTTAAAAGATTCATGGAGATTCTCTTCTAGTCTAGCTGAATCTCGACCGGAGTCCGACGATTTTTAAACTCTGTCAGGGACAAATGTGAAAGGGACAGGTCTCGCACACGCACGCACGTGAATGTGTTCGTGTGTGTATGTGTGTCTGTGTACCTGTGTGCGCGCGAGCGCGCCACTCTGTCCACAGTACACGTGAGCGCGCGCGGGCGCACGCGCGCGCAAACAGAACGGAAGAGACACACAATACGGGCGCTCAGGATTAGGTTTACTTTGCCGGAGAAGTGGAAACCTGCAGCGGAGCCCCGTAATTGAAGGATAGGACCATCGAAGCAACCGGTTATTTCTCTAGGTAAACAAGCCAAGAGAAACGGCCAGCCGGTCGGGCGTGCAAAATGAAATATCGTGGAACTTAACGGCGTCGATCTTCGTCACTCTCTCTTTTTCTACCGCGGGCTTTGGCTATCCTCGCCCCGATCCGTGCAAATAATACCTTCAAATCCAGTAAATACCACGGCCAATGGCCGTTTATGAGCCGCGGGGATATGAGTACTCATTTCGAAACGGCCGGTGGATTCTTTGAATTCCACGAACAAGAGACCCGGCGAATAAATTAACTGTAAAGGTGATTCCTTCGACGACGATCGATAGCGAGAAAAAGAGGTAGATGTCAATCAACATTTGTGTAATCGTGGCCTTTAATATTCTTAACATTCATCGTTAACAATACAATAAGTATTCAAACATTGACTGAATTACAACAACGATATGTGTACAAATTAAAGATAAATGGATAATTAGAAACAACAGTTACTATCTCTCTATGAAACTATCGGATTATAAACTTAAACTATTAATATATTTTTCTATTTAGAAATGATGCCTCAAGACGGTAATATCATTGGATCTGTCAACATGGAAAAATTCTCTCGTCAATTCATCCTATAATACAATTAAAAGAAATTACCAATTCAAAGATAAAAGGTTGAAGAATAAAGCAAAGCCACTCGCCAACTTTTTATCCCGCTGTTAGATAACAAGACTCTGGTCGAAAGGTAAATCGGTGATTTCCGCGACTTTCCGCCTCCCGGCTATTTCGTTACGTAAATTTGACTGGCGTTCAATTATTCAAACCGGCTTTCAAGGTTCCATTCGGCAGCCGGTACACCATCCACAATCCTTGCTATCCATCGGAGTTAGCCCATTACGCTGAATACACCCTTTTCCCCGCCGCCGTGAGTTTCTCCCTCGTCGCCGCCATCCCATTCGAGAACCCCCGTCCCAGACTTTCTTTTCTCTACACTCGTTTCTGCCTTTTAACATAGTTTCCCGGAGAATGGGATTTTCCGGCTGCAGACGGACTCGATCACTTTGTCCGCCTTATTTTAGCCAGTTTCACTGAAACGATGGAATTTATCGCGCAGCCACGCCGAATCGCTTGTATATCCCTAATTTCTCGTATACCTTTTTCTTTAATTCTTTTTTTTTTTTTTTTTGCTCCTATCGAAGAGCTCTTTAAAACGAAGCTGGATGGCTTTGTACTGTGCTCGAATAATCTTCAGACAGGCTTTTCTTTTTTCTTTTTTTCAAGTCCAAGCGAAGGAAATTCGTACCTACGTATGCGTATAAATTAATTTTACTTTTTACAACTACGAATTATTGATTTTTGCAGCAGTTTACAGTTTCTTCTTAACTGATATTAATCTTGTTGCCACGATACTTGGCTAGTCGAGTTTCTCTACCGAAATGTGTAGAATATTGACGAGTAGAAGGTAATAAAAATTTGCGTGCAAATTCGACGATACAGCGACAGGAACACGACAATACGGTGGACGACTAGCGTTACAAGTTACATTCAAGCGTGCACGTGGAAAAGCACGCGGAACGGAACAATCGGTGGAATTTCCGTGGATAGAAGACAAACTCTAATGAGTTGCGATATAGCACAAAAGCGTCGCGCACTTATCGAGCGTGTCCAACGCGAGGGAAGGAAACTCGCCGCCGCTTTAATAATGCAAAACCAGTTTGCGTTTACCGGAGCTCGGTTAGTGCTTAATTACGTGGACCCGTCTGCTGATTAGATATTGTCCTTCCAACTTCGCCGCCACTGTCGTCGCTATGAAATCCCGTTAATTATTTCTTGACGCGCCCCCCCCCCCTCCCCCTCTCTCCCTCCCTCCTCAGTCACAGCACTCGTGAATCATCTCTACTTGTGCAACTTCTTCCGTCTATGCGGAATATTTTATCTATTCTCGAATTCTTCAAAGACAGGGGAACTCTATCTTTCGGCGAAACTCTGCCAGAAGGTTGTTGAAGGTTTGTAACACCGCTTTCGGTGTCTCGAAAGAGATTCCTCCGATTTGTTATCTCTGAAATTTTCTTTTCTCATTTCAATCGTCAAATATTCCTCGAGCGATAGTTTCGCGAGACTGGACGATATCTCCGGACGAAGCGGAGGCAGAGGGCGTTTAGTTTAGGTAGACGAAACGATAAACAATATCAATATTGGTGTACGTCACCTGGTGTTAGCGTTCTCAGACTTAAGACGGCTAGCGACTACTTAAGGGGTTAATCGACGAAAGTAGCCCTCTCTCAACGGTGGCTTGTCTCTCGGTACACAGAGTCGTCAACGGTGTAAAGTAAGATCGAATTAAGTTAATGGACGGAGAAGTGCGGGCGTCCAGACGCACCCATGGTAAATATTGGCCCAAGACGAGCAGACGACGCCTCGTTAGTTCGCATTTTCCTTCGCCGATGATGGAAAAGAAAAAGAGGGAAGCAGTGAAATCACACGGCTAGAAACCAAGATACTTATGAATAAGTTTAGGACCGGTCCAGCGTTGAACGAAACAGAGCAGAGGGGAGAGGGGATGGAAAAAGATTCAAGCAGATAGAGGAGGGGCACACTGTATGCCCCACCTGAAACAAATTTCCCCGGCCTCGAGTTTCAGCCGGAACTTTCTTCCTCCTCCACCAAGTTTCGACAAGGGTTGCAGCAATTGCGACTTAATTCTTAACCGACGCTTTCAGCGTAATCCAGAGCCAAGGGCCCGGACTACGATCGCATATTTAAAAGTCTGATCTCTGCTTTTAATTAATTATCCCTCGGTCGACTCGCTTCCGGGTTTTCTACGGTGGCGGCGAATATAAACTAGAAAGAAATGGAAGCTTCGTTGCTTCGAAACGAAAGGAAGAGACGCGGATGGACGGACAGATGATGCTAAGGTCGATCGAGACCGACCGTTCCCCTACGTTCTTTCCGTAAAAAACGCGCGGTTCGTTAAAAAATGCAAACACCTTGTATTTAAATATGGAAACATTTCAAACCCACGGCGCACACGTTTTCGCATTAACATCGCGTTACAACTGAAATTCGGATCGTTTGTTTTTTCGGAAACGTATTCCGCATTTTCTCTCTCTCTCTCTCTCTCTCTCTCCCTCGCTTTGGGGAAATTTACGGTTTTGTAGAGAAGGAAATCTAAAATCTCCCCGTATGAGCTTCAAAGATACCCGCATCTCCGGCACAAATGAAATCAGCTTTGAACCCGACGAGTATCACTCGTTCGCGTTTGCGTCTGCGTGGGCGAGTGCTTCAAACGCGTATTAACGGGCACGGAACAAAACTTGCGAATAAAATCTTCGAAATTCGTCGAGCACCCGACACGGGAGAGACATTCCCTCTGTGTTCGCGACGCGACACTTTCGAGAAGTTGGTAGGTACTTTATTTACGAAAAACTGTCAACGCCACGATCCTTTGTGGTATTTTGAAAATTGTCACGCTCAAGTTCCCCGGAAAATTGACGCGATGGTTGTTCGCCTGGTCAGAATCAATCGGGCGCGTGTTACAGGTTACGCGACTACTCTGCACGTCTGACCAGTGTCAGACCTATATCACTGATCTCGAGTGCACTTACATAGACCTTCGGTCTTTCGTCACGAGCACATTAGATTTCGAGAATTGGCCGACGGTAAAAGCAATCAACTTTCATCAACAACTCACGTGGACGATGCGCTGTTTATTAAATCAATCTTTGCTATTATATTATTAATTGAATCATACGTGCAGAATACCGGGCAGGGCTGCGATCGATTCCTCCTGGTCGATAAATTTAATTTGTACACGAACCAACGCAGAAGACTAAAACACGAAGACAAAGTTTCAACCAGAGAAATGATTTTATAACGATATTCTGCTTATATTCCGCGGACTAGTAAACAAATGCAATATATATGTACAGCGCACGCTAGCCTAAATAATATTCGGATGCGAGAGGGAGAGAGTGTGTAGCTGGGTATCGCGATGTTATTGTAACGAAATATGATGAACCCGGACCTCGTTATCGATCGTTTAATTCTCGAAACGCGCGTCGTCATTTTCATCGAGCGGGCACGTAATGCTTAAAAAGTCAATGACGTTATTTGCGCGAAACGTAAACGCATCCGGACGAGTCAGGCGATTATTTTCGTTCGTTTCGGCGCAGTTCATTTGTTATGAAATTACGCGACACGAGAGGATAATTTGTTTGCAATAAATTTAATCAAACGTAATAAGCGTGTCGGGGGCTGTCCATTATTGTTAATTAATTTAAAGATTGCAACGCGTATTCAATTAGTAACAAAACGAAGTTTCATTTCGGTCCGGGCGAATTGCGTCAAATATTGACAGAGCGTGGAACGATCGATAACGGAAATTTCTGGCGTGCCACGTCATTCGAATAGTTTGCATTCGTCGCGTCTTCGAACACGAAGACTTCCCCATGGTCCCCGTGATCTCGTTGTCGGTGCGCAATTCGACCGATGTCGTTAACGAAATTTTACGCGGCACGAGCTACAAGTTACTGGTGCTAATAAACTCTCTCTCTCTCTCTCTCTCACGGTTTACAAGTTTAACGATAAAACAAGTTAAGTTCCGCACGACAATTCTACGAATTACGAGCCGTGCCGATTAGTCGCGCGTTTCGCGCGCGGTGCGTTAAACGGTGAAATTGCGAGATAAAAATTTATAACACTCTCGCAAACGATATTAATTAGTAATTTATCGCGCAATATGGTTCGGATGATAATCATCCGCATCCTGTGTTCGAATTAATGCTATCTCTGCAATTGGTATTTATTTGTAGTCGAAATTATACGGGGGTGCAACCGCTTTCATCGTGCGAGATTATTTCTTAAATAATTCTCACGTTAATTCACGCCGTTCATTTTTAATACCGCGCTCTAACAACAGATATTTCTACAGACGATTCGACCAGCGTTTAAAGCGGCTCTCTACTTTGAAATATTTATATGCATTCTGAATTATTATACTTCAATTTTGTACAGGTTTCGCCTTCGACGAACCGAGGTACCTAAGCCAATTAATTTTTCGAGAATTTCCCCTAGCTAGCTGGTCCAAATGCTGATTGTTTTCTCGTTTCCTTTTTTACCAGCCGTTGGCTCCTGCCGTTTCTCAACCCTTCTTCCAGATATTTTTCAATTAATTCGTGTAATTGAATTTGTGCCGGTACATTCTCGCGGGCCGCGTTGCACTATGCTCGATTAAACGCCAGCCAGAAATCGTACTCGGGCGTGCGTAAAACACAAGATTGGATGGAGTGCGGTTTGGCAGGCCGAACTCGCGAACTTTCGTGCAAAGTACAAAATATGGCGCACCGGAAGGGATACTGACACCGGCGCAAAAATTGCTCTCCCCCGGGAGATAAACGTTTCCGGTTACGCTGGCGCCAACTTCCTTCGAATCGAATGAACCACGGCTCACTTATCAAATTGGATTCTAACTGAACGAAACTCTGAGCTGCCCGTTTTGCGAGAGCGAAATTAACGGGCTGCGCCTGACACGTTTCTTTCTCGGACAAGCGCAATTATGACTTGGAAAAAGCAAACGAAAAAAAAAAAAACAATTATTTCACTGTATAATGATATCTCTCTTTCTTTTTTTTTTTCAGTATTATAATGTGACGTTATATACGGAATGATTAGAGGACTCTGTTTGTAAAATCTAACGTCCCCAACTCGTTTCCATTCTTGAAAGTAGCTAATAAATCTGTAAAACTTCTAAAAGACTAATAAATGCACAAAACCATATAAACTATCCGAAGTTATAACATTTAATGGGTGGAAACGCTTTGTAAATTATTTTCAAAACTATATGAATTTGCTCAAAAGTATACGCTCTAATTATATAAAATAATTTAAATAATAAAATAATGTTTCAACGAAACTGACAGATTGAATTTTATAATTACGAAGAATATTTCTTTCCTATGATTATTAAACAAAATAATATACTGGGAAATGTATATACACGTATGTATATATATTTATGTGTATATCATATTTATAAACGTATTACGTAGTATAAAAATAAAATAACTTCTATGTACATGTGAAATATTAATTTCGATATAATATAACATTATGCAAATATATATTATTAGATGAATATAAAGAGACGATTATAAATGAATATAAAAAGAAGATACTAATCACTCACCATGCAATCACCACCAATGCAAACGTCCATGCTGTCCGTGTAGCACTTGGTGCCATCGTCCACCTTGTCAGCGAGCTGGACCACGATCGTTTCTTCGCTGTCGAGCTGCAAAGCGTCGGTGGCATCATGCGGAAGCGTCTTTTCAACAGACGTTTCCTGTCGCAGCCGACTGCCAGTGTTTTCCAGCGATTGCTCGCCACGGCAGATCAAAGCGCACGGCCTGGTCGGATCGTAATGTGGATACCATTTTAACAGTTGACCACTGTACGGCACGTCGTCGAACGCGGCGCATTGCTCCGCCCGGAAATCGCTCGGGTTCTCGCACGGCTGCAATCAAAGGCGCGGATTTTCTCTTGAGATTGCTCTTTCGAGTCACCTACATCGAGCTCTTAACACGATTTTTCGTGATTTTGATGTTTCGCGATGGATCGAGGCTTGAAACGAGTCAGAGATAGCATGTGTGAATTTGATTTGTTGTAATGTTTGATCTTGACGTTTTTTTTTTTTTCCTCCCAACGATATTGTTCTTTGACAATGTGATCGTCAAAGGGGATCTCTTTCGCAAAGGTCAATGAGAATCCGATCCACAAAACATCAATTCCCGAAAAATCTTGCCGAATCGCTGGGGTCGGATTATTCAAGTCGATGCAACGAACAATATTTAATCATCCGAAAGGGCAAACTGAACGCAACGCCATCGCGATTGTTTAAATTGAAATTACATTTCCAAGGTAGCATCGGTATTTCATTTACACCAGCGGATCGCGATAATTCCCGAATTATATTTTAGCAACAATGCGGCATCAGCGTTTCGCCATTACTCTCACTTTAGTTGTCTGCAAAGCAGTTAAACGAAGCGTGCCAGCCGGCCTGAGAGATCGTTTCAGGGATTTTCACACGGCCGAAGGCAAAGCCGTAGATTTCGACGGAACAGATCATTACCTAATTAGGTCGAACCCTTGCTATCGGTATTTTAAGATGTCCACTTTGCAACGTGATCAAAGGATCGCCCGTTGTTCACCTCCTCGAGTGGCAACCGAAACGATCGAACGAACCGAAACGTTCGCGACCGAACACTTGAAACTTCGTTTCTCGTGTAAATCGCGAATTATCGGTGTATTTGTATTTAAAATTATTTGATCGCCGAGCGTGCAACTCCTTTTGCAACATCGCCACCCCGTTTCCTATTGATCACCCTCCCTATTGTAAACGTTATTCCGTTCTGTGTCATTTAATCGTTTCGCGTTCAATTAGCCGCGTTATCATTTCTCTCTTTCTCTCTCTCTCTCTTTCCTTCTCTTGAAGGAATTAATACCAGTAGCGATAGAGGGGGCAAGATGAATCGGCGGTCAGATGAAAAATTAACTTGAAAATGCGCGCGGATTAAAAACGACACAGGGCGTTTCGCGATATTCGATCATCCGGGCGGCAACGTCGAGTCAGTCAACAAATTCCGATGACTATTAATTACGACGATAATCAGATCGGATATGACTCGAGGGTATCCCGATTGTACGTTTTTGTCGGCGCAGCTCGGCGTTCAGCTCGGTCCACAACGTACGAACAAGTCGCGATGTAAAATGACCAAAGCGAGGGATTCATTACTCTCCGTACGTTTCGTTCGCTGTTGTTTCCATTTTTTCTCCCCCATTTGTTGGAATCAAGCTCACGGAAAAGCGAGTTTGATCGAATTCGTTGGTCGACTGTCTTACGTGGGAATTACCTTGCGTCGTCAGTTAGTTTTACAATTGAAGAATTTGCATCATTTATCTACGATGCTGCATTAAATGGATACTAACGTATGATAATTATATAATTAATACTGTAACACTACGATGATAATTTATGCAACTCTACGTGTTGTTGGTCGACGAAAGAAGAAGTTGTCCTTGGTATCCGCGTCTTGGAAGTATCGTTGCTGGTAAACTTCGTACTATTACAAACTATACTGTGGATGTATCCTCCGGACGTAATCAAGTTATTCATCGATAGATCCTAACGCAATGAGGAGTTTCAGATTCGATTCAGATACGGAATCAAGTTGCATTTCGTGCATCCCCAACTACGAACTACAAAACAAAGTTAACACTTGGTATTGCGGAACGAGTATCAATCTAGCGTAAAGTAACGAATTGTAGCACGAATATATATATATATATAATCGAACAAAATTCTAAAATTTCTCGTCGACATTCCCTCGAGTAAGCACGATGGTCAAATTTTACCAACGTCATCGTGATAAAATACACGTAAAATACAGACGTTAAATCAATGATAATTGTTAAATAATCACGATTATCCCGCGAGTCAACGTATAAATACGTTCACGCTTGACAAGTGGAAATATTTAATCATCTTCGTTGGATAGGACGAGTGATGATCGAAAAATGGTATTAAATTCTGTTTACATTAATTATTAGATCCGGCGAGAATGTGCAATATAGACAGTGAAATGCAGCCGGGGCTGCACGGTGCTGACTGGTGGTGCTCGCGTGATGTTTCGCTGTTGACAGAGTGCCGGTCGATTTTCAACAACGGGGACATCAAAGTTCCGTATTACTTTCCGCGTTCTAACGAAGCTGGTACAACGGTGCCAATGGTAATTAATTAACGTGCCGCGCTAACTGTAATTTAGTTAGAAACGGCTTCCAGTTATTCCTGTCGTAATTACGCGACTGTCCCGTTTCTTTCTATAGACTGAATAAATTTCAAACACTGTGCATTCAGCTAATTGCAATTCTATTTCTGCAAGTCGTCAAAATCTGAAATTTCGAGGAAAGCGAGAATGAAAAGGAATTCCTTTGTCTTGAATCGTTCTGCGAACGATCGATTCGACTTCCCTTTGTAATAATAATTCAGTAACTCTCGATAATAATTTCCCCGCGAAAGACAAATCCTCTTTCTCGTTCCTCCGCGGGGGAAATTATTTTAGGCGCGGTACATCCTCGTCACGCTTTTTTCACTTCATTTAATTACTCCGTTCGTTTGCCAACGAACCGTTTAATCCGCGCGCGCCAGGTTCCTGCTTCGATAAAAAAGGTGAAAAGGAAGACCGAGCTTTGATAATCTCTATTAAATCCTCCCATTACCGTATTATTTCAACAAGTTTAATTAAACACAGTGAATTTGGCGAAATAATCTTTCCCAATTGGAAGTCGCGTGTGCTCGCGTCGCGGATCGAACCTGGAACTCGTTCAACTCGAGCAATCACGCACGATTCTCAAAGTGCACGGAAAGGAAAATGTCCGCCCCGTAACTAACTATTTCCCCAGGTTATAATTAACTCCATCAATGGGGAAGCCTTTTTTCCTTCGAATATGTAGAAATCCGTGTCGTGATACAGGCATGCTGGACATTCTTTTTTATTTTTTGCCGGTGTTAGAAATAACTATAAATCATGTTTGCACGTGGTGTTGATAAGATAGCATCTATGTGCGTGTATGTGTATATATATATATATATACTGAATGATGAAAAAGACAAAAGAATATAGAACAGTAGAAAGCCACTGCATCGTATAGATCTCAGAGGGAAGTGATTGTAAACTATAAAAACCGAATATCTGTGTTTTATAAAATAAAACCTAATGCCAAATTAACAGTCGGTTTGTCTCTCCAATCTCTCCGCGTTTCGTTTTGTTCTTACATTTGTCCCTTGCCACCCCTCACTCTCACCCCTTTGCGCGTCGCGTCTCGCTTTCCGCTGGCAGCTTTCTCGTGGAACAACGGCATCGAATTACCCGACGATCCATCATTTCCCGTATCCGGAATGCAAAACGCTACTTACCGGGACACCTGTTACTGGCTGAACCTCGTCGACCGATAAAAAAATCCGATGCAACGTCGAGAGAGAGAGAGAGAGAGAGAGAGAGAGAATTGTTAATACCGGTTTATGCAGCCAGTTTATACACCGGGTGATCGCGCTACAAAGCGTAAATAGGTAACTTTTTGTACGACTGCGTGTGCACGGAGGCTGATACCGCGAGACAATTGCCTTCCAGGAGTATCAGAATCATTCACGGATCGTTCATTTCAGAAAGAGTTGCTAGGCAAATTGTTATACGAAAAAAAGGTCTCTTATCCGAGAATTCTTTATTTTCGTATTCGCCCGATTGTGATCACCAGTTGTGTTTGCCACAGAGAACGGTAACTCACCTACCGTATCTCCTCATGGTCTTCAACCATATCTAACGGCTGCGTTGCGCGCAGTTTGCCGGCCAGTTTCGCATTCAGAGAAAAATTAGAACTCGTTTCGATGTTACAAAGGAGATCCCCCCTTTTTTTTTTTTTAATCTGCAAAACAAGAGACAAGGTGTCTCTACTTGCGGATTAAACGTAGTATATATATATATATATATATATATATATATATATATATATATATATATATGAACTGTATACTGCGTACGCTATATTTCATCTGTTATTTCAAAGAATTCCCGCCGGTTATTATTACATTGCGTTGTTGTTTAACCTGCGCCAGTAAACGTAATTTCCATCGATGGAAAGGGACGGTGACAGAGTCCCCTTCTTTCGATCGTTCACTTTTCCTGCGTATACGCAGACACACCCTCGCCATTTCATCCCCCTGACAACGTCCGCGCGCTTTAAATTCTTAATCCCCTCGGGATTACGTCACCATTACGGCAATGGGATTCCACTCGGTGTTAAACTCGTGTTAACACGCCACGATCAACGGACTCCGTCCGTAATAATTATTAAATACAAACAGGCCCTGACGAGATGGAGCTTCAGGTTGGGCGGGCCGTGGTTCAAAAACAAAGGGCTGACTTCTCACCGTTTTAAGCGCGTTAAATATCGATCAAATTTGCACGCGAATTAATTCATCCTTCGTCTTTGCAGTCAGTCGGCTAATTACGTTCTTTGTTTATCTTTCGAAACGATTCGCGAGAGCTGCGTAAATGCGTTAAAAAATGTAAATGAAGTAGTGCAATTCTCTCAGATTAGTGAATCCGATGACATTCGAATGGTAAATTTCTACAGAGATTCGACGTACATCGACGTAACGAAAGGAATCTTCGCCATTATAGAAATATACTTTGTCAAATATCACCATGCTACAGATACTTCATTCTTTTCCTAAATTCATAGAATTGCAAAGAAGAGGAAATGTTGAATTAACTAAAAAAAGGTTTCGGATTTAAAAATACTTCTTTCGTTGGCTAGAAAGTAGTATTACTGCGTTTTCCTCTATATATCTTAAAATGTAACTAACTTTATTTTATTAATTGCAAATTCATCGTACAATAATTTGATCCTTCGTTGTTTTAGAAAAAAAAAAAAATGTAATAATTGTGATTAGCTGGC